TTTAAAAAACCAACACTTAGTTTTATTAATCTTTTATATTGTTTTTCTATTCTCTCTTTTATTTCTTTTTGCTCCGATCTTTATCTCTTTTTTTTTCTACTAGCATTAGGCTTAATTTGTTCTTTTTGTATTTCCTTGAAGTTGTTTATTTGAGATCTTCTCTTTTCTTAATGTTGACATTTATAGCTATAAACTTCCCTCTTAAAATGGCTATTGCTGCATTCCATAAGTTTTGGTATGTTGCATTGTCATTTTTGTTTGTTTCAAGATACTTTTAAATTTTTGACCCATAGGTTGTTCAAGAGTGTGTTGTTTAATTTCCACATATTAATGAATTTTCACATTTTCCTGTTATTGATTTCTAGTTTGATACTATTTTGGTCAGAAAAGATACTTGGTATAATTTCAACATTTTTAAATTTTTTGAGACTTCTTTTGCAACCTAACATGGGCTTTGTCATAGAGAATGTTCCAAGCACACTTGAGAAGAAGGCACATTCTATTGCTTTTGGATGGAATATTCTGTTAGGTCCACTTGGTCTAAAAAAGTTTAAGTCCAATGTTTACATATTGATTATCTATCTGGGTGATCTCTCCATTGTTGAAAGTGGGGTTTTGAAGTCCCTTAGTATTACTACACTGTTGTCTATTTCTCATTTCAGATCTGTGAGTGTTTGCTTTATATATCTAGATGCTGTGATATTGGATGTATTCTCACAATTGTTATACCCTCTTGATGAATTGACCCCTTTATCATTATATAATGACCTTCTTTGTTTCTTGTTACAGCTTTTTACATAAAGTATATATTTTTTTCTGATACAAGCATAGCTAGCCTCACCTTCTGTTGGTTTCTGTTTGTGTGGAATGTCTTTTTCCAGCCCTTTGCTTTGTTCCTGTGTGTGTCCTTGTAACTGAAGTGAGCTTTTGTAGGCAGGATATAGTTGGGTCTTGTTTTTTTTCTATTCAGCTACTTGTGCCTTTGATTGGAGAATTTAACCGTTTACATTTAAAGTAATTATTACCAGGTAAGGACTTATTATTGCCATCTTGTTCCTTATTTTCTGGTTGTCTTGTAGTTCCTTTTTTTCTTCCTTTCTTGCTGTGTTCCATTATGAACTGATGATTTGCCATAGTATTATACAGGCATATCTTGTTTTCTCGTGTTTTGCTTTATTGCGCTTCTGAGATATTGTTTTTTTTGATTGTTTTTTTTTTACAAATTGAAGGTTTGTGGCAACCCTACATCAAGCAAGTCTGTTGGAACTATTTTTCCAACAGCAGTTGCTTACTTTGTGTTTCTGTGTCATATTTTGGTAATTCTCACAGTGTTTCAAACTTTTTCATTATTAGTATATTTGTTATGTTGATCTGTGATCAGAGACCTTTGATGTTACTACTATAATTGTTTTGTAGGGCCACGAACTGCCACCATATAAGACAAAATTTAATAGGTAAATTTTGTGTTCTCTGACTGCTTCATACACCAGCCATTCCCTTGTCTCTCTCCCTTTCCTCCAGCCTCCCTATTCCCTGAGACACAACAATATTGGAATTAGGCCAATTAATAACCCTACAGTGGCCTCTAAGTGTTCAGGTGAAAGGAAGAGTGGCTCATCTCTCACTCGAAATAAAAAACTAAAATGATGAAACTTTGTGAGGAAGGCATGTCAAGAGCTGAAACAGACCAAAAGCTAGGTATCTTGCACTAGTCAGCCAAGTTGTGAATACAAAGGAAAAGTTTTTGAAGAAAATTAAAAGTGCTACTTCAGTGAACACATGAATGATAAGAGAAGTTTGAAGCTAGCATGGTTGGTTCATGAGGTTTAAGGAAAAAAGCCATCTCCATGATTTGAAAATGCAAGTGAAGCAGCAAGTGCTGATGTAGAAACTGCAGCAAGTTATCCAGCGGATCTAGCTAAGATAATTAATAAAGGTATCTACACTAAGCAACAGATTTTCAATGTAGACAAAACAACCTTATATTGGAAGATGTCATCTAGGACTTTTATAACTAGAGAGAAGCCAATGGCTGGCTTCAAAACTTCTAAGGACAGGCTGACTCTCTTGTTAGGGGCTAATGCAGCTGTTGACTTTAAGTTGAAGCCAGTGCTCATTTTATTATTCCCCAAATCCTAGGGCCCTTAAGTAGATTTAAGCTAAGTCTACTTTGCCTGTGCTTAATCAATGGAATGACAGTCTGGATGACAGCATATCTGTTTACAACACGGTCTACTGAATATTGTAAGCGCACTATTAAAACCTATTGCCCAGAAACAAAGGTTCCTTTCCTAATATTACTATTCATTGACAAGGCACCTGGACACCCGAGAGCTCTGATGGGATGCACAAGATTAATGTTGTTTTCATGGTTACTAACACAGCATTCATTCTGCAGCCCATGGGTCAAGGAGTAATTTTGACTTTCAAGTCTTATTATCTAAGAAAGGTATTTCAAAAGTCTGTAGCTGCCAGTTAGTGATTCCTGTGATGGATCTGGAAAAGCAAATTGAAAACCTTCTGGAAAGGACTCCCCATTTTGTATGCCATTATGAACATTTGTGATTTATGGGGAGAGTCAAAATGTCAACATTAACAGGAGTTTGGAAGGAGTTGATTCCAACACTCATGAGGACTTTGAGGAGTTAAGCTTCAGTGGAAGAAGTAACTGCAGAACTAGAATTAATGGAGCCCCAAGATTTGACTGAATTGCTACAATCTCATTATAAAATGTATGAGCAATTGCTTCTTATGGATGAGCAAAGAAAGTGGTATCTTGAGATGGAATCTATCCCTAGTGAAGATACTGGCAAGATTGTTGAAATGACAACAAGGGGTTTAGAATATTATATAAACTTAGTTGATAAAGCAACAGCAGGGTTTGAGAAGATTGACTCCAATTTTGAAAGGAGTTCTGTGGCTAAAATGCTATCAAATAGCATCACACGCTATAGAGAAATTGTTTGTGAAAGGAAGTCACTCAAAATGGCAGATTTCACTGTCATCTAAAAAAAATTGGCACAGCCACCCCAGCCTTCAGCAACCCCCACCCTGATAAGTCAGCAGCCGTCAACACTGAGACCAGACCCTCCACAGCAAAAATGGTTACAAGTCACTGAGGACTCAGAAGAAGCTTAGCATTTTTTAGCAATAAAGTGTTTTTAAATTAAGGTATGTATAGCACATGATTTTTTAAAAAACATAGTACTATTGCACACTTAGTAGATTATAGTATAGTAAATATATAGCTTTTATATGCACTGGGAAACCAAAAAATTTGTGTGACTTGTTTTATTGCAATACTCACTTTGCTGTGGTGGTCTAGAACCAAACTAACCTGCAGTATCTCTGAGGTATGCCTGTACTGATAAAGATGGAGAAATACCTGCCTTAACGTATTTTAGCTGAGTAAAGATGTTTTTTAAACAAAACTCTATTTGTTTTTAGAGAGAGGGGAAGGGAAGGAGAAAGAGAGGAAGAGAAACATCAATGTGTGGTTATCTGTCGCACACTCCCAACTGGGGACCTGGCCTGTAAACCAGGCGTGTGCCCTGACCAGGAATCGACCAGCGACCTTCAGTTCACAGGCCAGTGTTCAGTCCACTGAGGCACACCAGACAGGGCCTGAGTGAAGATTTTTAGTTTAAAATTTGCTAAAGGTCAGAGGCATGAACTATAGGAGGCACATTTCTTATTAAGGTTCTTTAGGGGAAGGATTTTCCCTCATTTATATTTATGGCTCCCTTTTTCTTTTGTTACTAATCCAATTCCTTATCATCACCACCACCAAAATGAGAAAGAGAGATTGAGAGAGAGAGAGAAACCTGGAGATGAAACTGGCATTTTAAAGTAATTTCAAATAGATTTATACCATCCAGTACTTTAAGCCAAGGGAGACCTGAAGTATTAGTGCGATATAGTAAAATGTACTGTGTTATAGGTAATTATGCAAATTTAGAGTGTTACAAACCAAATGTAAACACTAAAAGCCTCCTTAGAGCATAAGGACATAAAATGTGCCATGAAGGAATGGATCCATGTTCCAGCCGACCTGGCATTTCGTCTCTAACAGCAGTACCCTCCAAATGTTAAGCAGGGTCTGGTGGCCTGTTCTGGTGTCAGTAGTGAAAGATTAGAGAAGTTTCACCTATCCTGCATTTCTTGACCATAATAGCTCTGTTATTCATTTATTTAAACTTTTAAAACTTATAACTGACTTATAGTTGACTAACCCCCAATTACCATTATAAAACATTTCATTTTTTGCTACTTGACATGGTAATCAGTATTTCATTTTATTTGTCTAAGTTTATAAACATTTTCAAGCATTTGCATGTATTTTACAGTTCTCATATTCTACAGTTTTATGAATAATCTACGTTCAACTTATTTACGCCTTTATGATTTAATACATTTTTATTATTTCCTCTTTATCATTTAAAAAAGATTTTATTTACTTATTTTCAGACAGAGGGAAAGAGAGGAAGAGAAACATCAGTGGTGGTTGCCTCTTGAATGCCCCCCACTGGGAAGATGGCCTGCAATCCAGGCATGTGCTCTGGGTGGGAATGGAACCAGTGACCCTTTGGTTTGCAGGCCAGTGCTCAATCCACTGAGCTACACAAGCCATGGCTCTTCATCATTGTTTAATGGAACCTAGATTGTATTAGTCTTGTCTCATGACACAATTTACTTAAGAGGTATACATTGTTCTCTACCATCTATGTGATGAAAACATCCCTCTATAACAAAGCACCTTTTTTCAAAACATTTAACAAGCTTATTTGGCCTCTCATTATTTTTGAAAGATAGGTAGGACAATTATGTATTTACTTACTTTATGGCAGACAGGAATTCCTTTTTTTTTTTTAAACTCTCCTGTTGAGTTCATTGCTGTTACAGATTGAAATCATTCTTTCCAAGGGTCCAGGATCTTCCTCATTCTCCAATATCTAAATGTATAATCCTTTTGACCTTCTGTTCTTCATGTCTCCTTGCAGCCATATGTGTCATTGTCTCAGCAGATGGCACCACCTAGTCCAAGCAACAGTACCCCTAACAGCAGCAGTGGGAGCAATGGAAATGACCAGCTGAGCAAAACCAACCTCTACATCCGGGGATTGCAACCCGGCACTACTGACCAGGACCTTGTCAAGCTGTGTCAGTCGTAAGTTGGGGTATGTGTGGGTAGGCTACCAGGGACAGTATAGATTTGGTGATACTGGCTTCTTGCCATATACTTGTATCCTGAAATGCAGTATTATTTTGCTTCTATCTCTTAGTCATAAGGTTTCTCAGCAGCCCCTCTTAAAGAAATTCTACCTGCTACTAATATATAAAACCTTTGTGTTTCTCTGAGGAAAGCCAGGATAAGGCTGGCCTTTGACATCAAGCATATGACTTTGGTTCTAGCAGGTTCTAGAATTGATGATCTTGGTGAAAAGATTCCTGTCCTTACACCTTGAATAGAAATGTTCAGGGTGTCCAAAGGTATTGATTAGAAGGCAGTGAGAGCCAGCGGTGGGGTATAAGAATGTGGGACTAGCCCATTGAATTGTATACTCAGGAGAGTTCCTGTTGCTAGAGATACTCCTAGTGAACTAGAGGAGCACTCAAATTAGTGGATAAAGAAAAAGGTGGAGAAAGAGGCTGTCACTTTGCATCTACCCCCTAAACACTTTTGAGGTTCTTCCTTGTAGATTCGAGTTGGGAGGTGGAGATAACTACCATGGAATTAGCCCAGTTAAGAATGCTGGGAAGGGCCCTGGCTAGTGTAGCTCAGTGGCTTGGTCACGGGCCTGCGAACCAAAAGATCGCGGTTCGATTCCCAGTCAGGGCACATGCCTGGCTTGCAGGCCAGTTCCCAGCAGGGGACGCATGAGAGGCAACCATACATTGATATTTCTCTCCCTCTCTCCTTCCCTTCCCCTCTAAAGATAAATAAATAAAATCTTAAAAAAAAAAAAAAAAGAGTGCCTGTTCAAAACAAATGCTGGGAAAATTGAAAGTGTGCAGAAATGCTAGCTCATTTCCTTCTGGCAGAAAAATATGTTTCTGCCAAAAAACTTGGGGGAATTAGAGGAAAAGTCTGGGGGTGGGATGGGGACATTAATCAGGACAAGGAAAACTGAATTTGGGTTAGTGAACGGCAGAGAAAAATCAGAATCTTTGATTATGTAAATTTACCATTTTAAGGAAACTTTGTTTTGAAGTATAACAAATGCATGTAAAAATGGACAAATCATAAGTATTTTCAAAACAGTGAATTTTCACAAGGTGAACACACCCTTATCGTTACCAAATCAAGAAATAGAACATTAGGACCTCCGGCCAAGATGGAGGTGTAGGTAGATGCACTGTGCCTTCTCGCACAACTAAAAGAAGGACAACAGCAATTTAAAAATAAAAAAACAACCAGAACTGACAGAAAATTGAACAGCACAGAAGTCCGACAACCAAGGAGTTAAAGAAGACACACTCATTCAGACCTGTAGGAGGGGTGGAGACGGGCAGCCCGGAGGAGAGGACTCGGAGCAGGGAGGTGCCTGGAGAACCGGGGCAGGCAAGGCATTGGCTGCTGGATCTGGGCAGGCGGTGGATTGCGGAGGGGCGCACAAGGCTGCAGCTGGCCAGCAAGGGGCAGCTGGAGGAGCAGGCGGTCCCACATTCACTCGCAGATAAACCAAGAGAAAAAACTGGGAAGCAGTGCGGACTGTGCAACCCAGGCCCCCAGCTCCAGAAATAAAGCCTCAAACCACCAATTGAAAACACCTGTGGGGGATAAATTAAAAAAAAAAAAACAAACCTGGCTGGTGTAGCTCAGTGGATTGTGCGCGGGCCTGCGAACCACATGATCGCAGTTCAATTCCCAGTCAGGGCACATGCCTGGGTTGCAGGCCGGTTCCCTGCAGGCCAGTTCCCAGCAGGGGACGCACAAAAGGCAACCAAACATTGATGTTTCTCTCCCTCTCTCCTTCCCCCCTTTCCCTCTAAAGATAAATAAATTTAAAAAAAAAACACCTGTGGGGGTTGAGCCAGCTGTAGGAGAAACTTCCAGCTTCACAGGAGAGTTCGCTGGAGAGATCCACAGGGTACTAGAATGTTCACAAACCTACCCACCCACCTGGAAATCAGTACCGGATAGGCCCAATTTGGTTGTGGGAAGCAGAGGAAGTGACTGAAATCCGGTAGAGAGGGGACCAAGTGCCATTGTTTCCTCTCAGACCCCTCCGCCACATAAGTGTCACAACCCAGCAACTGGGTTGCCCAGCCCTGGTGAACACCTAAGGCTCCGCCTCTCACTACATAACAGGTGCATCAAGACAAAAAAAAAAAATGGCCCAAAGGAAAGAATAGATCAAAGCTCCAGAAAAAATATAAGTAGGCAGTGAAGAGATAGCTAACCTATCAGATGTACAGTTCAAAACACTGGTAATCAGGATGCTCACAGAATTGGTTGAATTTGGTTGCAAATTAGATAAAACAATGAAGGCCACGCTAAGTGAAATAAAGGAAAATGTATAGGGAACCAATAGTGATGAGAAGGAAACTGGGACTCAAATCAACAGACTGGACCAGAAGGAAGAAAGAAACATCCAACCAGAAAACAATGAAGAAACAAGAATTCAGAAAAATGAGGAGAGGCTTAGGAACCTCCAGGACATCTTTAAACATTCCAACATCCGAATTATAGGGGTACCAGAAGGGGAAGAGGAACAGCCACCAGTGGAAAACTTATTTGAACAAATAATAAAGGAGAACTTCCCCAATCTGGCAAAGGAAATAGACTTCCGGGAAGTCCAGGAAGCTCAGAGAGTCCCAAAGAAGTTCCAAGGAAGAACACACCAAGGCACATCATAATTACTTTAGCTGAGATTAAAGATAAGGAGACAATCTGTAAAGCAGCAAGACAAAAGGAGACAGTTACCTACAAAAGAGTTCTCATAAAACTGTCAGCTGATTTCTCAAAAGAGACCTTGCAGGCAAGAAGAGGCTGGAAAGAAGTATTCCAAGTCATGAAAGACAAGGACCTACATCCAAGATTACTCTATCCAGCAAATCTTTCATTTAGAATGGAAGGGCAGATAATGTGCTTCCCAGATAAAGTCTAGTTAAAGGAGTTCATTATCACCAAGCCCTTATTATATGAAAATGTTAAAGGGACTTATCTAAGAAAAAGAACATAGAAAACATGTATAGTAAAACATCACAATTATTAACAACCACACCTAAAACAAAAACAAACTAAGCAAACTAGAACAGGAACAGGACCACAGAAATGGAGGTACAGGACCACAGAAATGGAGAACACATGGAAGGTTATCAACAGGGGAGTGAGGGAGAGAAGGTACAGAGAATAAGTATCATAGATGGTAGATAGAAAATAGACAGGGAGAGGGTAAGAATAGTATAGGAAATGTAGAAGCCAAAGAATGTATATGTACAACCCATGCACATGAACAAAAAGGGGGGAATGTGGGTGGGAGGGCATGTGCAGGGCGGAGGGAAGTGAAGGGGGAAATGGGACAACTGTAATAACACAATCAATAAAATATATTAAAGAAATAGAACATTGCCAACTCTTCAGAAGCCCACCTCGCAATTACTGTCTCTTCCCTATCCCCAAAAGTATCTTCTTGAATATGATTAGTGCTACTGTTAACTTGTACATGTCTTTCGGTGCATGTGTGTACACATTTATGTTGGGCATATACCTAGGAGTAAAATTGCTGACTCGTAGGATGTGCATTTGTTTGGCTTTTGTGATATGCTAGCCGATTTTCTGAAGTGGTCAAACTAATTCCAACTCCCACAACAATGTATGTGAGTTCCCGTGGTCCAAGTCCTGGAGGGACTTGCCCCCAAAATACAGCTGTATGAGGCATCAGAGGTACTCTATAAATCCCTTCCTCTCCCGATGTAGTGGTTTGCAAATTCATACGCATTTTTGCTAGCCCTGGGCCGCACAAACTCAATCTCTAAAGGCAAGGTGCACATGTCACACTGGTTCCTTTCCCTCAGCCTACCTTGCTAGAAAGGTATTTAAATGGAATTCGTGTAGGACTAGTAATGTTTTGGGGGAATGGAAATTGGCAGAAAGGTTGGTTTATGAGGGAAGAGAGAATCATATCAGTCTAGTTCCTTGATTTCTGCACCCTGTGTTTCTTGTTTTAAATTTTCAATATAGGCCCTGGCTGGTGTAGCTCAGTGGATTGAGCGCGGGCCTGCAAACCACACAGTCGCAGTTCGATTCCCAGTCAGGGCACATGCCTGGGTTGCAGGCCAGTTCCCAGCAGGGGACTCACGAGAAGCAACCACACATTGATATTTCTCTCCTTCTCTCCTTCCCTTCCTCTCTAAAGATACATACATACATAAATAAATACATAAATAAATAAATAGATAAAAGTTCAATATATTGTGCTACAAAAATCCTCTTACTCTACAAGACAGAGAAAACAATTCTATTTCACTATACCTCTAGGCATTCGTTTTGCCCTTTCTGCTGACTCTGAAGGAATGAAAATAGTCAGGATGGGCATGTAGGAGGGAAGTAAGGAGTCCAGAAGGGGACCGTGCAGAAGTGGGAATGAGGCCGGAAGCACAGGTGCTAGATGAGTTATGGCGAAAGGGAGGCTGAGGAGAGCAGGTGAGTCAACCCTCGTGGATGCTTTGTGCTGGGAGTTCAACCTTTCTAGGAAGGGTGGTATTCATATCTCTAGAAGGACTTTCTGCCTTTGTCCCAGTTGTCTCTCTCTGGTTTGTAGGGGAAGCAAACATGGCTGGATCCTAAGCCCTAGTGGGCAGGAAGGAGAGCACGGAATCTGGGACTGGTTCTCTTGGAGGGGCTTCTTATTCTGAGGAGGAAGCAGCAGCAGCAGCAGCAGCAGCAGCAGCAGCAGCAGCAGCGAGCAACTCAGCTGTTGCCAGCTGCCGTGGAAATTCTGAGCTCAAAGTCTTGGGCTGCTCCGACCACAGCAAGCTCCACCCTGGGGCCTTGCTAGGGATCGCAGCATGTGTGTCCTCTGGCCTAGTCTCACGCAGCTCTTCCTTTGCCTAAATTTGGGAAAGAATCCAAGTATGTAGCCCTGAAGGGCCAGGATGGCCACATTACCACCCCCACCCCCATTTTAATGTGTTCTTTTCCCAGCCTCCAGGGCATTGCTTGGCTTATTCTTTCCAATTCATTGTGTCACAGAAACCCCACTGAAAAAGCTAGTGAGAGGTCTCGAGGAGTAAAGCAAACACATCAACCATCCTACGTTCTTGAGGGTTAGAAGAGGGAGAAAAAAATGCTTCTTCGGGGTATCACTCTTAAATTCAGTCCCTGCAGAATGTTTTCAGTTAAATCTTATACTTCTAACTTTGTTAGTGGTATTTGTTCTGTCTCTTTAATATTTTCATCCTCCTGAAGTAGAATGTAGAGACTTTTTTAGTGAACCACTTCGGATATAATTCCTGACCCGTGACACTTCACTGCTCAAGTTCGGGAGCTCCAAATGACTCTGCTGCCAAAATGTAATTTTCAAAAAGTTGAGAAACATGACTGTCATACAAGTTTAGGTGAACACATGCTGAAGATTCATTCGACTCATTAGCGAGGGAACCAGCAGGATGGTAAATGGGTTCACCGAGCGTTTGAGGGACTGGGTATTTATAGGTACGGGGAAAAGAATGTGTGATAAGATAGCTAGCTGGGTTACAGGCAAAACTGGTTCCTGTCCTAAAGAACAAGGAAATTGCAGTCTTTGGGATTATCTTTTCTATTGGACAGAAATTAGTTATATTTCTACTGGATAAAATGTACAAGTTAATATGCATCTTCACAAAATCTGGGCCCTAGCCAGTAGTAGATAGTAAGTGAAACAGAAACAGCTCACTGGATAATGAAATATACTTGGAATGGGCCTTTTAGACTATATTCCAGAATGACATTGAAAGGATATGCACGCTCGTTTTGTTTCATTGTCAAGTTTTGGATAATTTTCTTAGCACTGCTATTGCACCTGGTCTTGTGCCCGCTCCCCTCCTAACACACTTACATCTTGGCAGTGAGAAATAGAAGTCTTAGTAAAGACTTAGTAAATACAGTAAAGTAGGAGAGAGAGCCATTTGCAGTGGATTAAAGTTGAGGTCTCTTGAATATAGTAACAATAATAGCAGTAAAGAATTTTTAAGTGTTTACCTCGTGGCAGACACTCACACTTAATATTCATGAACTCCTTTTCCATCCCCCGCAACCCTATTTCGGTTTTACAGACGGTGAGGCTGAGGCACAAAAAGGTTAGGTGACTTGCCCACGATCACACATGGCTACAAAGTGGCAGAACCAAGACTTGAACAGAAGAAAGTTGGTTCAGGTTGACCTTCAATCAGGGGCCGTTAGAGGAGTAGGGATTGGAGTGTCAGAGTAGGTTTTCATAGGTGCAATGGTGTGTCCCAAAGAGGATCAGTAATATATCAAGGATTATTTTCAGTTCCCAAAGAACAGCCCGAGCTCTGCCCTGACATCTTCAGCCACGTGTATGTCACCAAGATTCTTTCCCTAAAGGATAAGAGTGTCTGTCTTTCCACCTAGTATCTGCGTCTTATTTGGGGACGAATAGAGACGCGTGTTGGACTGCCGTTACCTTACTTCTTGTAGGCACCTTTAGAGGTTAGGTTTGAAGGGTAATCATGGCATTTTAAATTCATCTCTTCTTTGTGTTTATTATTAAGTTCTGGGTGGGATCAGTTGTCCTAGTGGGAGTGGAGGAAGAACGTGGGTTCACATACATGTGTCAGTCTCTCAGTCCCTGCATCCAGGGCATCACTCTGCGTTTTCTTCTCCCTTAGATATGGCAAGATCGTCTCCACTAAGGCCATACTGGACAAGACCACAAACAAATGCAAAGGTGAGAAAACAGCTGCCCTTGGCAATGGGGAGCAGCTGAGAGTGAGCCCACCCTTGCCTCTGACCTCACTGCGGCAAGTCCCTGTACCGGAGGTCAGAGAGAAGTCTCACAGGTTTTCAGGCTTAAACAACAAGCAGATATTTAGATTCTTTGGTGACCAGATAGCTAGAGTTGCAGTGCTATTTGGGAGACCCGAGGCTAGAAGCCTGCAGAGTCTTGGAATTCCCTGGGCTTACTTTGGACCTCATGTTGCCCTGGATTGGATGGCGGACGTGGGTGAGACGATTTCTCCTTGGCAAAGCATCGTAACTGCTGTGGTGATGGTGGGGTAGATGGCTGGGGGCTTTGTTGGGGTTTTGAGCAGTTTTAGGTGGAGATGTAAGAGTGGAAGGAGGGGAAGGTAAGCAGGTTGGAGTGGGGAGAGGCTCCTTCCAGCAGGGCCTGGTTACCTGCAGCGAAGAGGCTGTCTCCTACATGCCTGGCATTTCTGGGCCGTGGCTGGAAAAGAGGAAGGGATTTTTTAGAGGTGGGGGGTGGTGCTGTGGGTTATTAGAAGAACCTAGTTCCTGAATCCTCAGATTTTTTTGAGAGGGAGGGAGAAAGGCAAAGACACCGCAACGACCTTATCACCCCTGGCGTTCTTAGCTTTAAAATGGACCGAATCTCACAGGGTGGGGAGCACATGGACAGTCACCCGAGACCTCTTCATTTCTCTCTCCCTACCACTTCCCTTACATGGGTCATAACTCTCCTCTGTCTCCTGGGAGGCCTGGGCCTCCCACCTCCCTCGTCCCCCAACCTCCCAGTGACGTTGTCTCCCTGTTCCAGGCTACGGCTTCGTGGACTTCGACAGCCCCGCGGCCGCCCAGAAGGCCGTGACAGCGCTGAAGGCCAGTGGTGTGCAGGCGCAGATGGCGAAGGTAAGGGCACGACCCCGTGTCCTTTCCTCTCGGGGGCTCTGGTTAGCAACCAAGGTCCAGTTCCAAGGTTTCCAGAGGGCTTAACAACGATGAAGTTGAAGGGCAAGGTCCAGTTGCAGTGCTCTTTGACTATATCTGGCCAAAGGGAGTGTGGGCTGGGGACCCACTCAGCAGCCCTTGGCTGCTAGAGGAAGATGGTATTCCAATCTGGCAGGTAGCTCTCAACTCTCTGCCTCTCGTCAAGTATTATAAGCAGGCAAGAGGGTCTAGAGGCTGCTTCCCTTCCCCCTGTTGTTTCCCCATCCCCACCCTGGCCCCTCACTCCCCTACCAGACAGCTTGTGCTGGTTTTGCCACATTGTCTGAAGAAGCCAGTCGTGGCTCTCAGAGGTTCAGAACAATGCTCTCCACCTCCCAGCTCGGTTCCCTGGGGGGTGGGGGAGCAACACACAGCAGGGAGGGCAACCGCCTCCTCTTCTCAAATCTCCAGCTTTTATTTTCATCTAGATTACTAGGAATCCAGAGGCTTCTCTCTCCCTTCTCTTACGTGGGATCGTCCCCTTGCCCTTCTGAAGTAATTGTGAACACTCGGCGTAGAGCTAATGAGGCAGGTCTGCCAGCTGCCTTTTCCTATAAAGGTTAAAGAAAATGGGAGCCCTAAAGGGAAAGGCAGAGAATTAAGGTTGCTGGTGACCCACAGTCTAGGGCAGTGACTGCTTAAATTCTTGAAAATACAGCGATGGGACGTTACAGTCGCTGTATGCATTCCGCCCTCTGGAAGGGCTCTCCCACCTCTTCCGTGCAGAAAATGCCTGGGCGGTGGAGTTTCGGAGTCGCGGAGTCGCGGAGTTCCTCTGAGACTAGAGCTTTCAGGGCTCCCTGGTGACCCAGAGAGCTACCCATGTGGCGCTGGTGCAGCCCCCAGCACGTCGCCTTCCCTTTCTCCTCCCCTCTTCCTGTGTTTCGGTGAACAGGCATTCCTACTCGGAGGAGTCTGCTGTGGCCGGAAGAAGGGGGAGGGAGGATTACTCAAAACAATCCAGCCCGGGAACGCGGCAGTCCCAGGGAATCCAGCCTCCGGGACAGGCCGCTGGGGGAGGAGGGAGTGCTGCTCTGCCTAGTTCTTAAAGAAACAGACGAAACTTTGTCAATGACTTGTATTATGGGCTTGTACAGTACTAGTAATATTAAATATGCTTACTGTTTGTTTTGCCTGGATTCAATACACAACCCATGATAGTGAGGCTCAGTGTTTTTACAAGTCGTTAAGATTCTGTTTGTCTATGTGGGACCCTTCCTGCTCTCTTTTCTGAGACGTCATTTTGTCTTTTCTGAGACGTCATTTTGTCTTTTCTGAGATGGTGGGAGAGGGATAAGAGGTATGAACTGCATTTTCTCTCCTTTATTTCCATAGCAACAGGAGCAGGACCCCACAAATCTGTACATTTCAAACCTCCCGCTGTCAATGGATGAGCAAGAACTGGAGGGAATGCTGAAGCCCTTTGGCCAAGTTATCTCCACTCGAATCCTCCGGGACACCAGCGGAGCCAGCAGAGGGGTTGGCTTTGCAAGGTGAGGGATGCCAAGAATGGGAAATGATGACGTCAGTGAAGAACATCACTTAGAGCCCTGGCCAGGTAGCTCAGCTGGTTAGAGTGTTGTCCCAATATGTCAAGGTTGTTGGTTTTATCCTCAGTCAGGACACAGACAAGAATCAACCAATGAAAGCATCAATAAATGGAACAACAAGTCAATGTTTCTCTCTCTCTCTCTAAAATCAGAAAATTAAACATTAAAAAAATAATAATGTTACTTAGAAGGTCACAAAAAACCCTCCCCCCCCAACAGGGACCAAACTATTGGCCAAAAGTACGTGACAGTAGATCAAAAGTTTGTTTAATTATAGGCCACAATACTCACAAATCCATTTGCTCCCTGAAGTCTTTATTTTCCCCTCTACTTCATGCTACTCTAGCCTTTGCTCCTTTTGATGCAGAATCAAACAGAATAAAGCAATTCTGTATCTTATAGTTTACAGAGTAGTTTCTCATCCTGTTCTCTCATTTAATCATTACTACAACCCTGTGCAATATTAATCTTCCATTTTGTAGATAAGGGAACCGAAGTTCCCAAAATGAAGTGATTTGCCTAAGGTGTCACACCAGAGGGTGGTGGAAGCAAAGCCCTAATCCTTCTGGCTCCAACATTAGTCAGGATGAAGTGGACGATCTGATCTACCTTTTCAGATCCATTGAGACACTTAGATGCTAGAACCAACTCTGCCACTAACTGCCCATGTGATAGGAGACCTTCAGGAGCCTTGGTTTACTCTGTGGGTTGATGTCGGCACGTGATTTTCTTATGTTCTGGAGAGCTGCAGAGCGCTCCAGGCGCCGGTCTTTGAGCTTGGGTGTCCTCACTGTTGTGGGACTTCAGCTCGCCCGTCCCACTTAAGAAATGGTTACGCTTTTATTTATCTTAAGATTTTGTTTGAAAGGAAACTCCGTTGTTGTTTCTAAGTTTGAAAACTCCTGGACTAATGCCCGTTTGTTTTTTAATGTCTTGTCTGGTCTGAGAGCACTCTCCTACTCGGGAGCGTTTTGGGCCTCGCAAACAAGGAATAGGGCTTCTCTAGCCAGCTCAGCCTTGGTAGTGCCACCTGCTGGCGATCCCAAGTATAACTAGAGAAGTTCCCAGGCTTGTGGTCCTCGGACATTTTTCCTCCTGCACTCTCGCACTCCAGGAGAACGGAGATTCCCACCCTGGTTCAGATCGTGGCACTGCGGTTGTCCTATTAATTTTTTTCCCCTAGACCAAAAAACCCCTAAAACCCTTAATAGGTCAATTTATTAAGTAATTAAATGGTCTAAACAACTCAAAAAATGTCCATATCTTAACAAGTTTGTGCCTAATTGAGAATATACACTGAAAGAGAAAATATTTTTATTTCACCCTTAAATAACTATCAGTGATAACGGGCTGTGTGCCTGTCGGAGACCGCACAACTCCTCCGACCTCCGGATCGGGCTCCATACTTCCGCCCTCATCTCCTGTTACACACTTGTCTTAGGGTACTTGCTTTTGTCATAGCAACCGCTGAAAAACCAGCTTTGCAAAAATACATTATCAAATGTATTGTTGAGTGAGCTACACAGTATCCAACAGACGTTGCTGTATTTTCTTCAGAAAGTCGAAGTGTTCCTTGTTGTGCTTCTGCAGGTACCCGGCAACCACGGGGGTGTCTCAGAGCCCAGTCTGGGAACTGTGGCTTTGAAGACTTGAAAAAGCAATGAGATCTCTTGCATGTTTCTATGTTAATAACTACAGATATTTTATTCATATGTTAAGATTCTTTTCTTAAAGATTTTATTTATTTTCTTTTAGAGAGAGGGGAAGGGAGAGAGAAAGAGAGGGAGAGAAACATCAGTGTGTGGTTGCCTCTTGCACTGGGGACCTGGCCTGCAACCCAAGCATGTGCCCTGATAGAAAATCAAACTGGTGACCTCTTGGTTTGCAGGCCCTGGCTCAACCCTCTGAGCCACGCCAGCCAGGGTGACATAGATTCTTGCTAGGTATGATTTCCAGCAAATTATAAACATTAATATTTTAAATCTAACTCACATCATTTTTCAATATATCCAGATGAGACCTAAATGTCCTAGCAATCCGATACACAAAATCACCTGTTTTGAAAATACATAGGGCATTTTTTAATAGTTACAACCCTTACATCTTTCATAAAATGTTCCTTTTTTTCTTCTTGAGCTTGTATTTTTATTTCAATTGTATTATACTGTAGTGTAAAACATTTTCATAGTTGCAAGCCTTTTTGTGGATCATCCTGTCATACTTCTCCACAATAAAAATATGTACATGTTAATTTTTTCCCAGCGGCCCTGAGGCTCTATATGTATTAACCCATAGGAAAACCCTCTTTATGATTTTTAGTTCACAATTGCCCCAAACAACACAAATATATTTAAACATTTATACGAAGTTTTTATTGGAAATACTTCTTCTATGACATACATAAGTTTAAATTTTATTTTTAGATTTTCCTAGTTAGAACGCGTAGCCATCAGCGAACGTCGTTTATCACTGTAACGAGACCGGGTTGATATCCGCTTTGTTCCTGTTTTTGCGTTTCCATGCTGAGAAACCTCGTTCACTTAAATAAGTAGACAGGACTGGAAAGAATTTTGTTAAAATAAGAATTTTTTAAAAGACTTTATTTCTTCATTTTAGAGAGAGGGGAAGGGAGGGAGAGAAACATCAGTGTGTGGTTGCCTCTCAGGTGGCCCCCACTAAGGACTCAGCCTGCAATCCAGACATGTGCCCTGACTGGGAATCGAACCTGCGACCCTTTGGTTCACAGCCTGTGCTCAATCCACTGAGCTACACCAGCCAGGCCTAAAATAGGAATTTATTTAATCCCTTTTGAGTTATTTGCCAAGAACCAAGGTGATCTATCATGAATATTGATTTTTTTAATATGTCATTTGACACCTTGTTAAGTCCTCCAGCTTCTGTTGGAAGAATTGGGACCATCTAACTTACAAAAAGATTCATAACTCTGTAGGTCTTCTCTGCCTTGTGTGGCGTTTTGGGATGAGTGGGAAGTAAATGGGGAGGGGTGGTTGTGAGAGGGGACTTTGGCTTTGACCGTTGATCAGGACCAATGCCCCAGACAGATCAGTTTTAGGAAAGAGTTTATGATGAAGTTGAGGTTCTCAAAGTGATTCTCTCGACACGCTGTGTCTGTTCACCCCTTTGACTAAGGAGTGGGAGTAACCCAGCTACAAACTTCTGCTCTAGGATACTGATCATGTCGTTTTCTCTAAAAAGTTCCATTTGAGGCCTTTTATGGTGACCGCCTTCATAGGGATGGTTTATATTTTTAGTGGTTATTGGCACAGAAAATATACTGAGACCTACTTGAAATATGGAAAGAGAGGAGGACACTGTACCTTGTATTACATAGACCTTTACACTTAAAAAAAAAGATTTTATTTATTTACTTTTAGAGAGGGGAAGGGAGGGAGAAAGAGAGGGAGAGAAACATCACTGTGTGGTTGCCTCTTGCACACCCCGCACTGGGGACCTGGCCTGCAACCCAGACATGTGCCCTGACTGGGAATCGAACTGGCAACACTTTAGCTTGCAGGCCTGCACTCAGTCCACTGAGCCACACCAGCCAGGGCTAGACTCTGACACTTTTAAAATACATTTATGTAGATTAACTGTTTGATCTGTACAATCCTGTAGAGGAGACAATAATTTCTCTAAAGTGGAAATGAGGAATGGGTTTCCACAGGGTTTGGGGCATGTCCTAACTCAGAGCTCTGGGACGTGAGCAGAAGCTGGAGTCTAGGTTTTCTCATTTTCTGATTTTCCACTCAGGCCTCTTTTCCCAAGAAGGAACTTTAACTCGGTATTTCCCAACTTTGTTTTTCTGCCACTGCGGACCAGATAAACCCCATCTGATTACTGTCTCCTCCTATAGACTCACGGAATCTTAATGATGTTATAGTAGCTAATTAGACCTTGGTAGATAACCAGAAGCAAAAAATAAATATTGACAAATTCTCAGCTCATGTAGTTTTGTCAGAGCGAGGGAACAATTTCCATTAGGAATTTTGTGATAAAAAGTACCCTTAACAGCCCTGGCTGGTGTAGCTCAGTGGACTGAGTGCAGGCCTGTGAACCAAAGAATCACAGTTCGATTCCCAGTCAGGGCACATGCCTGGGTTGCAGGCCAGTTCCCAGCAGGGGATGCACCAGAGGCAACCATATACTGACATTCTCTTCCTCTCTCTTTCCCTTCCCCTCTAAAGATAAATAAATAAAATCTTTATTAAAAAGTACTGTTAACAGCCTCTAGTTATTGTTTTTTTGTTTTTTTAAGTGAGGGAGAAGGGCCAGGCCTTGCGGAGTAGGAAGACCCTCTTTTTTTTTTTTTAAGATTTTATTTATCTTTTAGAGGGGAAGGGAAGGAGAGAAGGAGAGAAATATCAATGTATGGTTGCTTCTGGTGCATCCCCTGGTGGGAACTGGCCTGCAAAACAGGCATGTGCCCTGACTGGGAATCGAACCACAATCCTGTGGTTCACAGGCCCCACTCAATCCACTGAGCTACACCAGCCAGGGCTGTATTTGTATTTATGAAGCAGACACAACACTAGTCCCATCCATAAGTATCTTCTTTGGAATATGTATTCATAGCTTAAAGACCTACATTATTCCTTTCGGGGCCCCTTTAGGAGCCAGCCGATAGAACCTTCATTAGAAGCTGGAATTGCCTCTTCAGAATATCTTGAATTTGTGCGGAGGAAACTCCGTGTTCCTATAGGCACAACTTTTGGAGGATTTGTGGGGCTGGGAACTTAGGACATTCTTTTTGAATGTAGGGAGAGCACAGATCCTGAAGAAGCTAGAGCCTAACGCCTCTTGTGCTCCTTAGGATGGAGTCCACAGAGAAGTGTGAAGCCATCATCACCCACTTTAATGGAAAATATATTAAGACACCCCCTGGAGTACCAGGTGAGGCATCTGGGAATCAGGCTGAGAGGGCCATAGGTTGTTACTCCCAGTGAAGACTCTGGAGGAGTTTTGCATGAGTGTGAACGGGCTAAGTGAGGTGGGACTCAGCTGCCTGTCTGCTTTCTCTCTTGGTAGCCCCATCTGATCCGTTGCTTTGCAAATTTGCTGATGGTGGTCCAAAGAAACGACAGAATCAAGGAAAATTTGTGCAAAATGGACGGGCCTGGCCAAGGAATGGAGACATGGTAAGAGGACTTCTGAGGAGATAGGAGGACTGTGGATAGGTACTAGAATGGGATGGAAATGACCATGGCCTGATTTCTGTGAACTTAGGTGGCAAGCTTGGGAGCTGCAGTTTGCAACTGAGAGAAGCTGTTTAACATGCTGCTCGCTGTGGGTCTGGAGTGGGTGGGATTTTGCAGCCTGCACACCCAAAAAAACTTGGAACAGCTTGTTCAGACTTCATTTTAATCAGCTGAACCAAATACTTCCCCACCCTTGACATCCTGCATTTACTCCTGTTCTTATCCGAGAGCTTACAGTATGAATGTTGTGTTTTTTCTTATAGGGTGGTATGGCCTTGACCTATGACCCCACTACAGCTCTTCAGAATGGGTAAGGGTGTTTCAGATAACCAGGCCGACTGAAAATGACAACAGCCTTTGTCCAGGCACTTGGCTGTTTCATCTTGATCTTTTAACAGCACTTAGTGGGTGGCCATGTCTGTCCGTGGGGGGCCCTTTCTGATTTCCTGTGACTCTGTACTGATGAGGTTCCTTCCTACAGGTTTTACCCAGCTCCTTATAATGTTGCCCCCAACAGGATGCTTGCTCAGTCTGCACTCTCCCCGTACCTTCCATCTCCTGTGTCTTCGTATCAGGTATGCTTGTGCCCAAAAAGGGTGTGGTGGTTTTCCCCATCACTGCATTTTAAGTAAAGGAGTATAAGGCTGGAAACTACTTGTTTGTTTTCCCTTTGTATATACCACACACAAATCACACTACAGGAGAGCATAACATGTGGCCGCATCCCACTTACGTAGACTGTTGTAGGAGCATCCTCTTTCTCTCTGCCCACCGCCTCCACAAGTAAATCCATATCAATTCACTACTGTTTTCAGTGTTTTTCTTCATGTGCATATATACATATGTATATAGTTTTTGGAAGTTATTGTTTAGGTTACCAAAAAGTTGACCATACTAAATGTATTTTTCATACTTTGCTTTTCTCACTTAACAGCACCTTAAACCAGTGGTTCTCCAAGTGTAGGCCCTGGGCCAGCGGTGTCAGCATCCCCTGGGAATTTTTAGAAACACACATTCTTGGACTCCACCCCAGATCTACGGAATTAGAAGCTGGTGATGGTCCCAGCAGTCTGAGTGATTCTCGGGAGCCTGTGGGTGATTCTGATACAGCAAATGTTGGGCTCTCTGTTCTCATTATTTCCTTTTTCAGTGGTTTCATAGTAGATCATGCTGGAGAGATACCAGAATTCTTTTTCTTTAAATTAAAAAAAATTTTGTTGATTGATTTTAGAGAGAGAGAGGAAGGGAGAGAGAGGAAGAGAGAAAGAAACATCGATTTGTTGTTCTACTTGTTTTTGCATCCATTGCTTGATTCTTCCTTGTCCCTGACCAGGGATGGACCCAGAACTTTAGTGTATACGGATGATGCTCTAACCAACTGAGCTACCCAGTCAGGGCCAGAATTCTTCATCTGTACCCCAGTGAAGGTCATTCACTTGGATTTCAGTGTTTTTCTGGTATAAATAATGCTTCAGTAAATTTTCTTATGCGGTAAACATCCTTGTGCTTCTATCCTTGCCTATATAAGTACTTATGTTTCTGGTGGCTGGCATCTGAGGAGTAGAATTGTAGTTTGAATTTATGGACTGTGGAGTTTTATAAATGTTGCCAGATTGCTTTTCACAAAGGCTGTGTCAACTCACGTTTCCACTAGTAACGTGTGAGAGCAGCCGCTTCCCTCCAGCCGTAGGTGACATTGCTCTTGAAATTGTTCCCACCTTTATGGGTAGAAAGTGCACTGTGACTTCAATTTGCACTTCCCTGACTGCAGCTTAGTTTAAGCATTTTCAGTGTTTGTCATGTTTTGATTTGCTGCTCTCTGATTGCTTTTCATATGCTTGGCCCAGTTTTCTGTTTGGTTTTGTAAATTATAAGTATCGATCCTCTGAATGTTGTCTTTGTTACAAATGTTTTTTTCCAATTTTTTGTCCACTGACTTTGTGGTCCTCAAACTTTACCTGTGCATCAGAATCACCTGAAGAGCTAGTTATACCCAGGTTACCAGGCACCACACCGAGACTTTGATTCCGTAAGTCTAGGGTGGGAGGCAAGAATTGTATTTCTAGCAAGTTCTCAGGTGCTACTGCTGCTGCAGTTGCTTGTTGAAGGACCATACATTAGCAATCACTGGCTTTTGCCATGCCAAAGTTTAAAATTTGTGTATAGTTAAATATATCTGCTTTTTTACTTATAACTTTTGAATTTCTTGTCTTAATTCAAAAGATCTTCCTAGTCCCTGTATGGTACATATTGTCTGTAAGATTATTTCATTGTTTTATATATAAATGTGTAATCATCAGGAATTTGTTTTTGTATATGGCAGAAAGTAGGTGTCATATTATATTTTCTTTCAAAATGTTAACCAGTTGTCCTAGAACCAAATTATTAAATAATCCATTCTTTTTTTAAGGAATTATTTTATTTACTTTTAGAGAGGGGAAGGGAAGGAGAAAGAGAGGGAGAGAAACAGCCATCACATGGATGGCCATCTGTTGCGTCTTGCACACCCCCATCCGGATAGTTGGCCCTGTGACCGGGCATGTGTCCTGACTGGGAATCAAACCAGTGACTTTTTGGTTCACAGATCAATGCTCAGTCCAGCGAGCAACACCAGCCAAGGCAAATAATCCATTCTTTTTCCATTGAATTGAAATGCCACCTTTGTCATATAACAAATACTGGACTTTAGCGCTGGCTTATGTAGCTCAGTGGATAGAGTGCCAGCCTGCGAACCAAAGGGTCACTGGTTCGATCCCTAGTCAGGGCACGTGCCTGGGCTGTGAGCCAAGTCCCCCAGTAGGAGGCACGTAAGAGACAACCACATATTGATGTTTCTCTTCATCTCTTTCTCCTTCCTCTTTCTAAAAATAAATAAATAAAATCTTTTTTAAAAAAAGACTTATTTTTTAAAAAATAAACACTGGGGACTTCTGGCCAAGATGGAGGTGTAGGTAGACACACTGTGCCTCTTCGCACAACCAAAAAAAGGGCAACAACAATTTAAAAACAAAAAAACAACCACTTCTGACAGAAAATTGAACTATATGAAAGTCTGACAACAACCAAGGAGTTAAAGTAGACGCATTCATCCAGACTTGTAGGAGGGGCGGAGTCAGGGAGCTGGTACCGAGAGTGCTCGAGGCAGGGTGCTTGGCGGGCCCTCCGTGCACAAGGCAGCAACTGGCGGACCCAGCAGGCAGCGGATTGTAGAGGGGCATAGCGTGTCCAGTCCCACATTCATGCTCAGATGAACCAGGTGACAGTGGGAAGTGAGACAGACCCAGCAACCCAGGGTCCCAGCACATAAAAATAGAGCCTCAAAACACCTATTAAAAACACCTGTGAGGGTTGAGGTGTAGCGAGAGACTCCCAGCCTCACAGGAGAGTTCGTTGGAGAGACTCACAGGGTCCTAGAACATACACAAGCCCATCCACCTGGGAACCAGCACCAGAAGGGCCCAATTTTCTTGCAGGAAGCAGGGGAAGTGATTGAAATCCAGCAGAGAGTGGAGCAAGCGCCATTGTCCCCTCTTGGACCCCTCCCCAACATATAGCATCACAACCCAGCGACGTGGGTTGCCCCGCCCTGCTGAACACCTAAGGTTCTGCCCCTCATACATAACAGACACCATAAGACAAAAAAAAAAAAAAAAAAAAAAAGCTCAAATGAAAGAATAGATCAAAGCTCCAGAAAAAATACAACTAGGCAACGAAGAGATAGCCAACCTATCAGATGCGCAGTTCAAAACACTGGTGGTCAGGATGCTCACAGAACTGGTTGAATGTGGTCACAAATTAGATGAAAAAATGAAGGCTATGCTAAGTGAAAGAAAGGAAAATGTACAGGGAATCAATAGTGATGGGAAAGAAATTGGGACTCACATCAACAGTGTGACTCAGAAGGAAGAAAGAAACATCTAATCAGAAAAGAGTGAAGAAACAAGAATTCAAAAAAATTAGGAGAAGCTTAGGAAACTCCAGGACATCTTTAAATGTTCTAACATCCAAATTATAGGCGTACCAGAAAGAGAAGAGAAAAAGCAACGTGTGGAAAACTTATCTGAACAAATAATAAAGGAGAACTTCCCCAATCTGGCAAAGGAAATAGACTTCCAGGAAGTCCAGGAAGCTCAGAGAGTCCCAAAGAAGTTGGACCCAAGGAGGGACACACCAAGGCACATCATAATTACTTTAGCTGAGATTAAAGATAAGGAGAGAATCTGAAAAGCAGCAAGACAAAAGGAGACAGTTACTTACAAAAGAGTTCCCATAAGACTGTCCCCTGATTTTTCAAAAGAGACCTTACAGGCAAGAAGGGGCTGGAAAGAAGTATTCCAAGTCAAGAAAGGCAGGGACCTACATCCAAGATTGATCTATCCAGCAAAGCTTTCATTTAGAATGGAAGAGTAGATAAAGTGCTTCTCAGATAAGGTCAAATTCAAGGAGTTCATCATCACCAAGCCCCTATTATATGAAATGTTAAAGGGACTTATCTAAGAAAAAGAACATTAAAAACATGTACAATAAAGGGACAGCAAACTCACAATTACTAACAACCAAACCTAAAACAAAAACAAAAGCAAACTAAGCAAACAACTAGAACAGGAACAGAAACACAGAAATGGAGATCACATGGAGGATTAGCAACAGGGGTGTGGGAGGAGGAGAAAGGGGGAGAAGGTACAGAGAATAAGTAGCATAGACGATAGGTAGAAAATAGACAGGAGGAGGGCAAGAATAGTATGGGAAATGCAGAAGCCAAGAACTTATAAGTATGACACATGGATATGAACTAAAGGTGGGGGGGATGTGGGGGTGAGGGAGTGTGCAGGGTGAAGGGGAGTGAAGGGGGAAAATGGGACAACTGTAATGGCACAATCAATAAATTAAAAAAATACAGGTGGGGAGCACTGCGGGGGTTGGCTGGGATGGGAGTAAGAGACAGACTACTATATTTGAACAACAGTTAAATTAAAAAAAAATAAAGTGAAAAATTTAACGCCCAAAAATAAATAAAAAATAAACACCGGGATTTATTTTTGTATTCTTTATTTTCTCCCAATGATTGTAGTTTCCATTCCTATTCTGATAATATTAATTTGATCTGAGTGGCTTTCATAATTTGTTCTAATATTTGATGAGGCAAAATCTTTTCTTTTTCACACTTTGCTATTTTAGCTTTTATTCTTCTGTATAAAGTTTATGTGATCATTTAATCTAAATTTTAAAAATCTCTGAGGATTTTAATTGGAATTACATTAAATATATATATATATATATATATATATATATATATATACACATCTATAAACTAATATATATATATTAGTTTAAGAGAATTGATGTTTTAATAATAGTAACCTTCCCAGTCAGGGCACATGCCTGGGTTGCAGGCTGGGTCTCTGGTGGGGGACACATGAGAGGCAACCACACGTTGATGTTTCTCTCCCACTCTTTCTCCTTCCCTTCCCCTCTCTCTAAAAATAAACAAATTTAAAAAAACGTTTAAAAAATAATAATAGTAACCTTTTCACCCAAGGCATAGTATTTTTTCGTGTTTTTAATTTTTTTATGTCATACAATGAAATTTTAGTTTTCTTTATGTAGGTCTTATGCTTTCCTTGTAAAATATATTCCTAAATGTTCTATAATTTTTATAAGCATTTCTTAATACACTTTTGATACACTGAAAAAAGCTGTTGATTTATGTTCATCGATTTAGTATGCAGCTAACTTACCGAGTCTTCTTATTACTACTAGTATTTTTTCTAATTAAGCCTCTTAGGTTTTAGAGGTATACAGTTACATCATCAGTGCAAAAGAGTAGTTTCTCTTCCAATTTTATGCCAATTGTGCTTTTATCTAATTGCATTTATTTAACCTTACTGTAAGATGGGTTACTACAATTGCAGTGGTTTTAATATTTCTCTGTTAGGTTAATATTAGCAGCTAGTTTTTGCTAATAACATTTAATATATGTAAGTAGTTCCTTTCTAGTCCGTATTTTACTTTGTGATTTAAAAAAAATAAATGGCTGCTGAGCTTTATCCAGCGTCGCTTCAGTATCTGAAAGGCATTAAATGCTATAATGCATCATAGCATTGTACTATGGCTTTTTCCTTCAATTCTGACTTACGTGTATAGAGTTTTAATCTGAACCGTCCTTACATTTATGGAACAAACTGTACTTGTTTATTATGATGCATTTCTTACTTCTCATTGATATATTTTTTTCATTTTAAAATTGAGGTATAATTCACATACCATAAAAGTCATACTCTTAAGGTGTACAAGTCAGTAGTTTCTAGTATATTTACAAAGTTGTACAACTATCACCATTATCTAACTCTAGAACATTTTTATCACCTCACAAAGAAACTTTATACTCCTATGTGGTCATTCCCCATTCCACCTAACCCCCAGCCCCTAGCAACCACTTTCTATGTCTGTAGATTGGCCTGTTCCAGACATTTCTTAGCAAGTGGAAGCATGCATTACACTTGTGCCTGGCTTCTTTCTGTGAGCATGTTTTCAGGGTTTATCCACGTTGTAGTATGTGTCAGTACTTCATTTTTTTCTGTGACTGAATCGTATTTCATTGTGTGGATAATACCTCACTGTTTCATTCATTTATCCGTCGATGGCCATTTCCACCTGTGGATTGTATGAATGTTTGTGTGCAATTTTTGTGTGAACATGTACTTTTATTTTTCTTGAGTATACATCTAGCAGTGGCATTGCTGGGTTACACAGTAAATGCTTGATTTTTTCAGGAACTGCCAAACTGTTTTCCAAAGCTGCTGAACCATTTTACATTCCCACCTACGGTGTGCAGGATCCAGCACAAATAACGCCCCTTTTTATTACAAAATCATAAGCATGTAATTCTGTAACATAACAATGTCACACTCAAGCACAGCATGGGACATTTTAGGTGCAGTGATCAAATTAAAACTATAAATTAGTACACCCATATTATTACCCTACTACCCACACCCAAGCCGGCTTTACTCCCAACAGACCCTGCACGAAAGTTGCTGTGCTGCCCTTTTACTGCGGTCATCCCAGTGGGTGTGGAGTGGCATCTCATTGCGTCTTTGATCTGCCTTTCCCCAGTGGCTAATGATCTTGTGCCTCTTTCATGTGCTTATTAGCCATTTGTATATCTTCTTAGAGAAATATTTATTTAAATTCTTTGAACCTCTTTATTTTTAGTTTCTCAGTATTATATGGAACCAATTGCTATTTAATGTAACTTGTTTTTTCAATAAAATATACAAGAGCAACAGCTGCGTTCTCATTGCCCTTGTGCAGCATGAACAGCAGTGACAAACCTTCCCGTACAGGAGAGGGGCGGGGCGGAAAGTTGAAATGAGGTGCACCTGGCACTCGGAGCCGAGGGTGGGGTGAGGCTCTTCGGGGGCTTCAGAGGGTCATTGCAGGATGAGAAGAAGGGCAGGTGTTGAATGGTTAGTAGCTTGCCTTGTCCTATAGGTGGATAAAAGAAGCTGTCTCTGATAATTTCTTACTATAGGCAAGGCCCCTAATTCAAGTTCTTCTCGTAGTTAAATGAAAGGACAGAGGGGCAGAAGTTTCTCTTGTAGCGTCTCAGTTGTCTTTAGCTCAAAATAATCTGCACACCACAGAGGCACAGCTGGAGGTGACTTGTCCTGAACCCCCGCAAAGGTTAAACTGTTAGGGCTTCAGACCCTGGGGTGCCCATTTTTAAACTGGATTATTTGTTGAGGTATAAGCGTTGCTAATTTTTTTTTTTTAGATTTTATGTACTTATTTCTAGAGGGAGGGGAAGGAAGGGAGAAAGAGAGGGAGAGAAACAGCAATGTGTGGCTGACTCTCACATGACCCCTACTGGGGACCTGGCCCACAACCCAAGCATGTGCCCTGACTGGGAATTGAACCCATAACCCATCGGTTCACAGTCCACTGAGCCACACCAGCCAGAGCAAGAATTGCTAATATTTTTAAAGCAGTTTATTCTTAGTGTTTCTATTTGATAATGGGGCATTCCATCTTTTGAGGGTTTTGTTTGAACATTATCAGATCCTTGGTCAAAACAATAGTTTCTAGGCAATTAAAAATTTTTGTTTATTTTTGCTTGCTTTAGAGAGTAACTCAGACATCTCCTCTACAAGTACCTAACCCATCTTGGATGCACCACCAGTCATACCTCATGCAGCCGTCAGTGAGTATTCAGAACCAGGCAAATGCCCGAGGCCACTTGATGTAAAGGAAACCACTGGGAGGGGCTAATCATATGGGATGGAAGATGATCTGACTTTGGGTGGTGGGCACACACTGCAGTATAAAGATTACGTATCATAGACATGTGTACCTGAAATCTGTATGACCCTATGAACCAATGTCGCCCCAATAAATTTAATAAAATAAAATAAAAACACTAGGAATTGATGAAGGCAGGTGTGGGTTTTGAGTTCCAGCTCAGGCCCCTATGCAGCCAAGGTATATGACCTCACATTTTTTGAGTTTGTTATTCTTAGGCAGGGATCCCTCTAGACTGATGGGCAGAGTGCCTATTCCGGTTGCACAACTGGGTTGCTGCTCCTCTCTCATTTCCCAGGATTTTTAAATGGCCCCTGTAGCCATGAATCCCTGCTTCAGGCAACCTCACAGGATGCTGCCAACGAACCCTGTCCTTTGTCATTGTCTGTAGGGTTCAGTTCTGACGCCAGGGATGGATCACCCCATTTCTCTCCAGCCTGCCTCCATGATGGGACCTGTTACCCAGCAGCTGGGCCACCTCTCCCTCAGCACCACGGGCACGGTAAAGCAGGATACTTCTGATTATAAACACCTACCGAGGGAGGAATACCTGTGTACTACTTTTCAGCATAAATACTTGTACATGATAAGTATCACTTCAGTGTCATTGAGAGCACACTCAGAGTAGGAGACAAACTAACAGGTAATAATCCATGAGGCAAGGATACAGCATTATAATGCTCCCCAGCACACTCCTTTTAACTGATTCCTGCTTATAAAACTGAACAGTGTTTCTATCTACATACTCGTGTATGTGGAAGTTCATCCACATTTCCTAGGAATCCGTATCAAAATAGCACTAAGAAAGAAGAATGAGTGGAGCTCACCAGGTCTCATGTAGGCCCGCTACGTTCCAATGTGCACGGGAGGGCTTAGAGGCAGAGAAGGCAGTGCACAAGGACAAGCCGAAGGCGGGACAGAGGAGAAAAGGAAGCTGTGTCCGCGGAAGTCCCCCTATGCCAGTGTTCTTTAGAACCATCACCTGAAGTGGATTTCAAACGCACAATTAAATCAGACAATTAAACTAGAATCTCTGGGATGGAACAGAGGCATCAGTCTTTTCTAAAGCTCCCAGGTGCTTTAAATGTAGCCAAGAATCACCGCACTAAGCCCCTGATGTTTTTCATTCTAGTACATGCCAACGGCTGCAGCTCTTCAGGGAGCTTACATCTCCCCGTACACCCCTGTGCCTTCTTCCAGTGTTTCAGTTGAGGTGAGAGCTTTATAACCTCTTTGGATTGAGGGTAAGAAAATGAACAGAGGCAGATTTTCCCCGTCCAAGACCTTCCTCTCACAGCGATGCTAATTCTGTGTTCGCAAATAGCTGACTGGTATGTGAAGAATGTAGCAAGGAAAGTGTGTGTCCTTGAATGAGGCTCTTCCTGACATTTGGCCAGAGGGTAAATACCAGAATAGTAAACACTAGTGTTCCTTGGGAAGAGAACAGGCTGCTCCAAATGCTGGGGATGTGAGGCCGTGTGTCTGAGTATGTGTGTGCTGTGTGCCTGTGCACACTGACACTGGTGTGTGGGGGGCGGGTGAGCTGGGAAAGGCACGCCAGTGTGGCTGGGTCCCAGCCAGGCTGCTTCAGTGGGAGGTGAGGGAAGGGTGCACAGGGCTACTCTCCTGCTTTGGCTGTGGTTACAGGAGAACAGCAGCCAGCAAAATCAAGTGACCGTGGATGCTCCTTCAGACCATGGGGTCTATTCTTTCCAGTTCAACAAGTAACAGTGGTAAGAATCACATGCTGAGGGGCAGGGTGCACTGAGCAGCCTGAAGTCAGACAGGGTCTCATGTTTGTCATCCCCGCTCCCTACCCTCTTTGGCTTATTCCTCTGGTAGGATTCCCTTCCCCATCTTTGTTGAATACAAACTGCTGAAGCTCCCAGACTCCAGAGGGCTGACCCGGAATGTAGATCATCTGTGGGCCCTGCTAAGACCTAATGCTTGGCCATCATTTTTCACAGGCCTGGGCCTGAAAAAGAAATCTCTGCACTCCTGTCCTCTGCTCTTCCTCCCTTCCCGATGGAGCCTGGGGAAACCGTCACTGTCTGTGTGTGCTACATTCAAGGAAGCCAAAGACACTCCTTTATGTTTCTTTTGCAAAGAAAGTTTTGTTTTGTTTTTAACTGCAGTATACCCCAAAGAGACATGGTGCCTGGAGCTTCTTCTCATCTTTATGAAAAACACTTTTTGAAGTGCTGAACTTATTTGGGAAGGCTTAACATTTTTTATTTTATTTCTTCTCTTAAAAAAAAAAAAAGAAAGGCATGGTGCTAGAACATTGAAGGGGTCCTACTATGGGTCCTTCCTACAGAGGTTGGTTGTGGACTTTTTTTGGTACGTGTAAGAAAATATGCAGAGTTTAAAAATTTTGTTTTATAAAGCTCTTAACTCACCCATCCTATCTTTTCTTTATACATATTTTGCCTTCTTCCTCTCATCCAGATTTTTCTTCTTCTTCTCTTTTCCATGCAGCGGACATGCCTATTTCATCTTTTTACAGTTTTTAATTTTGTGAGTTTCTCTTTTGAATGAAATTTTCATATGGAATTTTTTAGGGCCAGGCAAGGAACAAGGTAGAACACTAAGCACGCAGTGGAAGTGGTTTTTCTTCCCTCTGTCCTGCCACGTCCTGTGAGAAAAGGCAAGACTTTGTCTTCAGGAAGCAGAGATGAGGCCTAGGCCCGCAAAAGAGACAGTCCCACCGCCTTTGGAAGTCAGGCTTGAGCCAAGTGTGGATGAAGACTAGGTCTTCCCTTGCCAGTTCCAGAAGGGTGGACTTAACTGACTTCTAATTCTTCTCACTGCCAAGGCCAACACCCCCTGAGGAAGTATCTTCTCTAGCTACAGCTTTTCAAAAATACCTGCTTTACTGCTTCCTAGAGGATCTTCTCACCTGCTCTGGGTCTGGGGGCCCCTCCCCTCCCATCACGCCGCTGTGCTGGGAGCCTTTGAAGTTGTGACCTCGCTGAGCCCACTCAGGCTCTGTTCCCACTGTGGAGAAGCAGTCGCTTCAGTTCTAGACTGGTGGTTCTCAAGGAGATGGTATTGTCCCCTACAGGCCATTTGGCAGTCCCTGGGGACATTTTTGATTGTTGTGCCTGGGGGTGGAGGCTGTGAGCTACTGGCATGTAGCAGCTAGAGACTGGGGATGCCACTGAACATCTTGCAGGGCACAGGGTCCCCAACATCCCAACAAAGAATTATCTGGCTCAAAATGTCAGTAGTGCCAAGATCAAGAAACCTTGATGGAGATAGTGCTGTTCCTGCCTCCTGGTCAGAGGATCTGGTGAATTCCTACTCGAACCCTGGACACACTGCGCCTTTTGAGACTCCTGCAACTAGTTGAAAGTGACAAAAATGGAGTCCTGGAAGTTTCCTCCGGCTCTGACCTTTGACACCTCTGCATACCCTGGAAAGGCTTGTGCAGTTAAATGCATACACATCCAGAAGAATCAAGGTGGGGACTGTTGGGTGCCATGCAGGGGTGGGCAGGGCAAAGCTCTCCGTAACTACCCAGGGCAGCCCGTCCTGCCTTGGTGTGTTTGGGCCCCTTTGCCAGGGAACTGGTCATTTTCCTTCTTGTGGAAAGACAATGGAGCTAGGATAGAAAAGGGCAATAAATCCCACCTCACTATTTACAGTACCAGGAGTCCTATTAAAAAAAAAAAAGCCTGTATTTCCTCTTCAACTCATCTCCTTTTGCAAGTCCTCACTCCATGCACATGGAGACAGAGAAGAACCTTTTGCCCGTCTTCTAGGAAATGAGATTCTTCACCTGTCTTCTCCCAGTCCCTCCCTTATACACTGAGAGGAGAGTTCTGCTCCCCCTCGCTTCAAGGTCAGGTGCCTTTCCACCAGACAATCAGACTGAAGGCCGGGCGACACAGACTGGAGGAACAGGTGTTCATTCGGCTGGCTGTCAGGAGAGGAAGGCGATGACGCTGGGGGGGAAGGAAGCTGTATTGGTTGTTGTACATTGGGCTTGGCCCCAGCTTTCCCTCCCCTCCCACCGGTCCCAGGATCGAGAACCCAAATGTTCCCTATCCTTAGGCTGTTCTTTTGTTCATCCTGGGGATGAGTGAGTGGGGGGGGAAATGGGCAGGATAGAAGTGTAAAGAACAACATTGCCACTATTCATTTTCTCATGGGTGCTTCCATCCTCAGGGAGGTCTCGTCCAACATAAAACACACCCAAGCTCAGTAACCTTCTAGAACGGTTTAGCTGGGCAGGTAGCTCACTTCCTACTTAAGGACAGTACACTGTAGATTGGTCAGTGGTCTTGAGGAAAAAAACACAAATCTAGAATCCCACTCATCTGACAGCAGCTTGGAGGAGCCTTCACGTGTGAGGCGAAGTGCAGCAGGGACCTCCCACACAGACACCACTGAAGTCACTGCTGCCCTGCTCTGCCTCCCAGAACTCCTGAATCTCTGTATGTGAGAAAATGTTTAGATTTCGTGACTTCACTCTGTTAAATTCTGAAATTACCTATCGGGCATTCTCCTCATGTGACTCTACTTAATGAATTCTGTTACGTGTTTCTGGTTTAGGCGGGGTTGGCCGGGCACGGGAAGCCATGGGGAAAAGTTATTTTAGTAGTGGTTAAAGGCACTGTGCAACTTCTTTTCTGGTGTTTTGGGGTTAACACTCGTATTTTTCCCTGGTTGCTAGTTCATTTCTAACAGTTCAAACATGGGTGATTGGGTAAAGGAGATGGAAGGAATAAGGGATACTGTTTCTCATGAAATAGCCTCGTGGTGGTAGGATTGTAGGGGAGCCTTCAACTTTGCAGCCTAGGGGATGCATCCTGGGGATGAGTGAGTGCGGGGGGGAATGGTCATGGTCAAGTGCAAAAGCTCTTTCGGTTGTTTCTGGTTACCCCAGAATAGTGTGAACTCTTCAATTAGGTCTTGCTGTGGTAGGCCAGGGGGCAAACCGTGTAATGACAGCCTGGCCTAGGACATTAACTAATGCTAGGAAGTCACCCCCAGAGTAACGCTCTTTAAACATTGCTGCCTCGTGTCTTCTCAGCTGTCTTCACGGAGCCCAGACGGTAGTTCCTTTGCATGTGTCATCTCATCCCCACCCATTACATATGCTTCTAACATTCTTAAAACATTCTAATACTTTGTATTTTTGCTTTTGGTCAAATAGAAATACTCAAGCACCTTCCTCAAATGTTAGTCCTTAGCTAGGCTCTGAGCCTGCCCATCCCACCCCATGCCAGTTTCTCCTGTTCCTCTCACGCTGAGATGATACAGACACTAGGCTGCCTAGACTTCTTGGAGAGTATGGTAGAGATTTGGGTACATGTGGGAATGATGGTGGAGAGAAATGTTATTTTTTTAACCAAAGAATTTGAAGATCTGCCCAGATTTGGAAGCCTGGCAGCTCTGAAGCAGTGGCCCTTGTGATAGATAGGGGTGGTAAGAAGACATTAACTTGCACTGAGTGTGAAAACTACAATAGGTTATGCTATGCTACAGACCATCCCTGGGTTGGGCCACTTCAGCCATTTCTACTTACACAGCAGTGAGGTCATTCACCTGCTTGGTACCTGCAAAGCTCACTCCCTGTGGCTTCAGTGTCAGTGCTTTGGGGGCTGACACGTGGGTTGGTACTTTGCAGCACAAAGGTGCTGTGAGAAGCCTTGCCGGAATGGAATTTATTCCTGGACAGAAATCTTGTTTTCTGGTCGGGTGGGGAATACCAGTGCTGCTCTTGCACATGTGCTCCACCTCCTGGGAGAGCAGCGGCCTTGCACCCCAGGCTACTTTGACCTTCTTATCCAAGGACAATAAACTGGGATGGGTAATCAGGTCTAAACTTGTCCTCAGGCTCAGATACATTAGCTTCAGAGAAAACAGTGGGTTTTATGAAAGCTAATCTGTAAGGTCTACAGCTTAAATCTTGTGCCTTGTCATACTGATTCTTCCCAATTCCCACTTAAGCCAACTACTGCATTTCCGTGTTTACCTGCACTTTAGGTCCTTCCAGGTATTAGCAGATCCCTCATATTAACTCCACTTTCACCCCTTCCTTTCATTAGTGGAATGAGGGCATAAACACCTGGTTTACATCTTTTCTTTGACTTTTCATGAGGCTTAGAAAGCTGCAGGCTGGAAAGGTTCATGGTCAAGTGCAAAAGCTCTTCTGGTTGTTTCTGGTTACCCCAGAATAGTGTGAACTCTTCAATTAGGTCTTGCTGTGGTAGGCCAGGGGGCAAACCGGGTAATGACGGCCTGGCCTAAGACATTAACTAATGCTAGGAAGTCACCCCCAGGAACATCAACAGTGGAGCAGAGCTCAGAACTTAAGAGGATGAGTTGGCCAGTGGCTGCCATGCAGCTGAGAAGGTAAGCAAGCACCAAAGAGGGCATTTGTGATTTTCACAGGCTGGAAGTAGATGTTCCTTCTCCATCTTATTTCAGTTAAAGTTTAGAGGGTTCACCAAAATCAAACATGTAGCTTAGAGGGTGATAAGATTTTCCAGCCCAAGTAAATAAGTACTTACCCCATTACTGGTGTCCTGTCCCACAACACACGATTTTTGGGTGGTGAGTGCTGTCTTGTGTGCACTTACCACCTTGGACAGGAAAAAAGTTTAATTTATATTTAGGCACATTTTGTACGCTTTTTCCTTTATCCAGAGACTTCTAGTTTTATACTCTTCCCATGTCTATGCCAATGCCACCCATCTAGCTTATTCCTTTTCTGACCCTGGGTATTCTTACGTTCCTTCCCTACAATTTGACAGAGCTTCATTTTGTCTTATTCAACCTTTGTTTTGAAATAAAACACAAACATCTACCTCCTGGTGTCTGATCCATGGGTGGAAGCTGGGAAGTGGGTGATGGGCCCATGCTTGCTATGGGAATACAGGTAGCAGCTTAGGAAGCCAAAGCCGTGTCTCACAAGGCAGGACCAGACACTGGATGCCATGCTGCTCCAGCACCAGAGCCAGGGGCACTAAGACCCCGACCCATCCACAGAGCAGACATTCTGCCCTGGGTACTTCCTGCACATTAAAGACCACAGTTGTAAGTTTGGGATAAACCTTGGACGATTAAAGGCTTGTTGCTGTCCTGCCTGCTCTCTTCACTGAACCAGTCATACTCACCCTAACACCCAGTGTTCCCCTGGGGCAAGTGTGAACACCCACACTGAAAAGAAGATAAACACACAGAGTCTTTTGAATCTCTATCAAATGTGGTTTTTATTCAACTGACAAGCACTTTTCTACAGCTGCACTTGTGGAACATCACATGGCAAAAACAGGAGTTTTTTTCTCTAGACTTTTTTTCCCTTTTTTTAACCTTATTAAAAATGAGATTGGTCCTAAAAATATAGAAAGAAATAAATTTAAATTCACAAAAAACTGTACATTATCAAAAAGTCACTAAAACACCACATTTGGTTATATAAAAAGTCAAGTCCCTTTTGATGTAAAAGGAACACGGAAACTTGTTGGTGTTGACGGTGTGGTTTCTTCCTGTTACCAGACTGATAGGGGAGGGGAGACAAAGGGGTAGGGGGTGGGTTCTTTTTTTTAACCTGCCTTCCCTACCAAATACTCTTATTTATGAAGAAAAGAAAATCCACCTAGCTCAAGGGGCAGTGAAGATGAAGAAATAAAAGTGAGAACAGCCCCTTTGATCATGCCCTACCCCACCCCGCTCAGCCCCACACTTCTTCAAACTGAGGCTAGGACTCCACCCCACCTTCCGAGTGCCTGGTCCCTAGGGAAAGATGGAGCTGGGAGAGGAACACAAAAGTAGGGACAATTGAGATTTCACTCCCACCCACCTTGCCTCCAACAATAATATTAACCTAGTACATTTTATACCAGGGGAAAACTGCCATGGGGAAAAAGAAGAGCCCCAACTACAACAGTTCCAAACATTTGACTAACACAAAGTTTGTTACAGCGCAGTTATTTAGATAAAATATAAATATTTATGCATAATATAAAGTCAATTCAAATATTCTTCAATCCACCTCTTATTTAAAAGCAAAAAGAAAAGTCTCAAATAAAATTAAAACTTCTGAGGTTTATCTGACAGAAAAGGCGACTTTAGAAATAGGCTAGGAGGGAGAAGGGGCATAAAGGAATAAGAAAGGGGCTGCCCCAGGACCTACACTGCCCCCCGACCCCCTCAGTGGCTATTCAGTGCTGCCAGAAGTACAAGGAATGCTCCACCTCACCTGGGACCCCCCCACACACACACCACCAATGGAACATTTCCTGGGTGCCTTAGCTCTCTGCTTGGGCCAGCCAGCGGCCACCTCCCCAGTGCAAGTACCCGTAATTTCTCATGGGAGGGGCTCTGCTGAGCAAGAAAGCAGGGGGCCAGGAGCCCATGGCTATAGCTGGGAGTTAGCTTTCCTCTCACATGTTGGGGCTTGGGCATAGTCACATGTAGGGCAGTGGTGGACCCCAAACCCCTCCTCCCTACTCTCTTGTGCTCCAGGGTCTCTGCTGCTGGGGAAGGGGTCCTGGGGTATGAAGTAGATAAGGGGAGGAAAGCACAACTAAACCCACAGAAGCTCATGGGATTAGGAAAGGTCCAGTTCTGCCCCTCTCCCTGCAAAAGCTAAGACTCAAAGCTACTGAAAGGAGAGGGAGTTCCTGCTGAAAGATTGCACAGTTTAGAGGCTGGAACAGAAATGACTGGGAGAGAGGAGACAGCCTTGTCCCCAGAAAAACTGTTCCTGTGGTTTTCCAAAGACAAAAATATGATGGTCTGAAATAATGGGAAAAGTGGGAATAAAAACAGATATTTGGGGAAACTGAACGGATGCCTTCAAAACAATACAGGGGCACAATTAACAGTGTCCTCTCTCTCACTCTCACATTCTCACACACGCACTCACGCACATGCGTGCACACGCACACGCACACACACACACCTCTCAGGCCAGTTGATTGCTATCTGGCCTCCATCTTGGGGTGTGCCCAAACTCAGCAGTAGTTGTCCCTGAGGAGTTCCCAAGAGGGAGGTTTGGGTAAGAGGTGGGGGAAGGAGGCTGCAAGGCCCAGGTTCCACAGTGCCTCCCTGCCCTCTCCCAGCTACCGAGTTTCAGGAAAGGCTAGAAACTCAGCATGTGAGGAGTATCCAACATTACAGAGGGATATGCTATTGGCAGAAGATGAGGACAGACAGAAACAGGGACCAATGAACCTCTTTTCCCTTTGAAAGGGAAAAAGACTTGGAAAAAAATGAAGGAACCCGTACACGATAGTTTTACATTATTGGATGACAGAAAATCTAAAATGGGGGTGGGAGGGAAGGTGAAAAATTGAGATAGAAAGTGAGAAGCAGGGGAGGAACTGAACATGGAAGCAGCATGTTCAGGGCCCGGTGTCCGGCTCGACACACTTGGGAATTAAGTCCACTTTACTGGCCGTCACTGCGGGTCCACACACAGTACAGAGTGTTTCTCGGTTTCACACATTCACTAGAACTATTGCTATTGTTAAATAGCCCCAGAGTGCTGGGGCATGGGCAGGGAAGGTGGGGAAACTGCAGGGAGGAAGTGGGGACTTTTTTCCTCCTCCTCATTTTCAATTAGGAAATAAAACAGAAAGGAAAAATTAACTTTTTTCTTTTTCTTTTGGCTTTTAGTCCAGAAGGACCTCATCACTGCCCCTCTTACTTGAGGAGCAAGAGGAGGAAAGGGAGAGGAGGTGTAGGGACAAGAGGACGTGGGGTGCTGCCCAAGACAGAGCCAAATGTCAGAGATGTATCTCTGACCTGAGTCGAGACCTAGGGCAGCATCAGCAGGTGAGAATGGCAGGGTTTTTTTGTTTGGAGGGCAGGGGGAGAAGCCACAGGTGACTCCCCACCACCCTTGCCTCACAGATTTGCCTGTTTTCCCTGATAAAACTCCTCCCAGCGGCTCTCAAAGAAGCGTCGCATGATGTGCCCAGCTTTGCCCACTTCAGAGTCATCCTCATTGAAGGTCTGGCAGTTGTCAAAGACCAGGAGTGCATCAGCCGCAAACTCCTCTGAACTGGTGTACCTGGGCAGGGGTGGAGGCCAAACTGTGAGTTGGGTAGAAGTTAGAACAGTGACAGGGGAGCCAGGAGAGTGGCTGATGTCTACTTACCCTCCCCGGAGCAGCCGCTCCCGCATGGTGGAAAAGTCCATAGGGTTTTTGATAATGCGTCGATACCCACTCACTAAACGTGGGTTCACGGGCTCCAGAAAAGGCCAAGCTGCATCATGGGACTCCATCTCCATCAAGATAATCCTACCATTAAAGGGACAGTGATGGCTGCAACTCTGAAGCAAATACACTGGCCCCTCCCAGCTCTTTACTCTGGTAAAAGTAGAATCAATTTTCCCCAGAATTTACTCAACTCACTCGCAAAATGTGAGATCATTATGATGGTTCCTCATGGAGAGTCGCCGCCGCTTCGAGGGAGACAGCCCTTCTTCCAAGTACCGAGGCACTGCTGGGCTTTCTCGGCCCCTTGACAGTACCCGGCGTGGGCGGCCCTCACTCTCTGGGAAGTTCAGCACATAACTACTTTTCCGCTTCTGGCCTCGTTTTGGGAAACCAGGCTTCTGAGAGAATTCTCCCTCTACCTGCTAAGGAGAGGAAAAAGATGAGATCAGCAACATCTGGAGATGTACTTGGCCTGCCCTCCAGTTCTTTACTATCCCTACATGTCTAAGAGTGACTGAGAAGGCTTCATGCATAAGCCAGCACGTGAGTTTATTCATATAACCCAATAAGGTAGATAAAAGAAAAAGTATAATCACTCCCATTTTATAGAAGAAAGCAAGTGAGGCTATAGAATTTACGTCACTTGTACAAAGAAGGACCAAACTCAGGAACCCAGGTGTCCTACCACCTAGTCTGGAGATCTTTCCAAGGAGACACTGAAGGCATGATTAAAATGATGTTTGTAAGACTGGTGGTAAACAGGATGAAAAATACATCTGACTTCTGCTAAGGAGTGGGAATGAGAAAGCAAAAGGCTTACCTGGGCCAAACAGACAGCACAGAACCAATCTCCCTCTGGAACAGCTTCCATTTTGGGCCTATGGCAGTATATGTGGCAGCCACGGTCACACCCATCACAAAGCAGAAGAAATTCATCGTTGTCACCTTTCCGGCAGACTAGACAGGTCTGGAGCAAGGTTGTGAGGAGGCAAGGTGAGCCCTCTGCCAGTGACCCCACCCACCTGGGCTGGCTGGCTCCCCAGTCTCTTACCACTTTGTTGACGGACTTCTCCCAGGCAATGGACCTCTCCAGTTGACCCAGGCACAAGCATACCTGGGCTGCACTCCTGCACCTCTCAAGTGTCTGGCGCCAGGTGCGCATACGAGGGGTGATCTCATATGATCTACAGGGAGAAAGTGGTGATCTATGGATGAGTAGGATCCATTAAACTTCTCCCTTCCTCCCAAGACCTAGAATGGGGGGTCACTCACATCTCTGTAGTGGTGCACTGGGGGGCGGCACTGGGCGTGCTGAGCAGGGCCTTCTCTAACACAACTTCATGAGCTGGCCAGAGGGGCTCCCGCAGGTACCGCCGCTCCACATTCTGCTCCAGGGCAGCCAGTCGCATCACAGCCAAGTCCAGAGGGTTGGTAGTTTTACGCTGGGGGGCCAGTCCTTCCCTGCCTCGACCTCTCCAGGTGATATCCTCCTGGGGGTCAGGTAGATGCTCACAGTAGGCCAAGTCTTCACGAATAGAGTCTGGGCTAGGACACGTCCAGCCCTGCAGGTGGGAGAGAATAAAACTCACTGAAAAGGAAGATAATTAAGCACAGAAAAAAAACATGATCCATTAAGGTCATGGGAGATCATTTGTGAAGGAGTGACCCAAAGGTTTTTCCTAGCAGGGTATAAGAGATTAACACCCTCCCTTCAGCAACCCCCTGCTCAGTGCCAGCCCTAGTGTACCCGGATCTGCAGATCGGACAGGATAACCCGCTGTTCCAGCTCCTCTACCCACTGAAGCACAGCCAAGTCTGTCTCATATGTCTTCTCTTTGGGAGACCAGCTCATAATTCCTTCTTGAAAAGCAAGTAACTGACTGGGCTCAAAGATGGAGTCTGAGAAGACAGGAGATAAAGGGTAAGGCCCATCAGGCCACCGCCCACAGCAACAGCTCAGTATTTACCCTGGGCTCTTCAGCTCAGGCTAGGTCTAAGTATCTTACCAGTTGAGGGCCGCAGGCAGACTTCCTTTAAGAAGTCCCTGTGCTTATTTAGGTGTTTGTGAAGTGCCTTCTCTCGGATGCCTCGGGGGTGCAGGGCCTTGAGCATGGCATCCAATGTCTCAGGATCTCGGATCCACCACCAGCCCGAGCACATCTCTGTGAACAGAGTTTTTGTATTCGGGGTGGGGTGGGAACCAGCATGAATCACATGGCCCATACCTGATGCCACTTCTACCTGCATTCTTACCCCACCACACCCCAAGGTCACTCACCAGGAGGAACAGGCTGGGCTGTCAGCTGGTTTAGATAACGCTGCTCCATCTGTTTGAAGAATTTACTCGGGGGTCTCCCTCTACGTTTTGGCTGCCCCAGCCCTGTGGGACTCTGTGTAGTTTCACCAGGGTCTCCTGCTCGCCTCTTAAGAGCCACCCCAGGCAAGGGAGTGGAAGAGAGCTGCACTGGAGAACAGGAGTTGGCAGCACTGGGTCTATTCACCTGTGCAGATGGAAGATAAGGGGATGAGGGTTTTTTTATGTTTATAGGTCCCTAATGGCTCTCCATCCTTTCCCCCAACTTTAGCACCAGCCCATAGCCAGTGGCAAGATGAAATCAAGTGCATACTCCTAATCTTGGCTACTTACTGGTTTGGAGGAGATAGGTAGCTGAGGGGAAGGAGTGGGCTGGTCCTCAGAAACTGCAGGGGGTGGTGTAGGGGCAGCATTGCAGGGCATCTGGGCTGAGAAGTTAAACCAGGGGGCTTGAGAATCAGGGTTGGATACTGCCTCTTCAGGCTCTGGCTCCTCCGGGGGCTGTGATGAGGTCAGATCCAGTTTTCCAGGGCTGCTATCAGGTGTGAGGACTGAGCTGCTCAGCAGAGAGCCGTGGCTCTGAGTCTGGCTCAGCCAAGACAGGAAGGCTGACTGGCTGAGGTCATGCTGGCTCTGACCCAGAGACAAAAAAGAGCCTTCTGGCTCCAGGAATCCATTATGGGTTGGAGGATGGGACTGAAGCTGGGGCTGGGCATAAGCCTGAGGCTGAGGGTGCGACTGACTATCGGGCTGAAGCTGGGCTTGGGGCTCTTCCGAACCCTGACCCCTGGCAGGGGATTTAAGGTGCCTAGGTTGCACAGACCCAGGCTTAGTTTTCCGAGGTCGGCCTCGGGCCCGGGCAGGAGAACTGGCAGAGGTGCTGGAGCCAGTTAATTCCCTCTTCAGAGAAAAGGAGTTTGGGCTGGGTGCTGAATGGGCTGCCACTTTCAAGGAGTCAGTTTCCTGCTTTATCATATCCTCAGGAACTGTAAAGAGAAGTAAAGAACTTAAGACATACACTGACAATATAAGGGGCAAGAAAGAGGCTATGTAAATGCAGAGTAGGCACTTTCTTTTTTCTTTTGGTCTTAATCCCTCTTTTTTGAGATTCTACTGGAGCAACTTATATGCCAATGAACATGGTATTTGGGAAAGAAATACTATTCTCCCAAGTAATCAGCAGCAGCAGCAGCAGCATAATTGTAAGCTAACATTTATGAAAAACCAACTATGTGTTAAGCAGTATTCTAAGAACATTAACTGGTGACTGCAGGAGGAGAGGGGGGAGTGGGGCTTGAGGGGGCTTAAATGGCAATGGAAAAAAAACACAATAAAGAATTTTTTAAAGAAGCACATTAACTGATTTCAAACCTTTCAATAGCTCTGTGAAATATACATACTATTATCATCTCCATTTTACAAATTAAGAAACTGAAGTGTACAGCTGGAAAATGACAGAACAGGTAGGCAGGTAGTCTTACTCCACAGCTTGTGTTCTTAACCACTATGCTTTGCTGATTCTCATAAAATGAAAGATGCCTAAAATGACTAGGCAGAGGAAAAGGAACTGTTTAACTTTCGTTAGATAGGTGTCAATTCAGGCTCCTATGACACACCTACCTAAGCACCCCTCTGTTCCTTCCACAAAGATACCAGCCAAATAGGGTAACACCCAGTAGCGGCGTCTGTAGCGGTCCTGACCCAAGGAGAATGCCCGAAGCATCTGGGATGAGTGAAGCAGCTTTCTGCGAAAGAAGAGCTGACGCTGCATAGACAGTGAAAAAGGAATATGAATAAAAAATACATTTCCAGAGTGGGGACTTCACCCAGTATATGGGAGAAGGGTAATGGCTCTCAGCTTTACCATCTGGGCCCAACTCATTAGGTGACCGATTCTCACCCAGCCCCTATCTCCAGCTCCTGGAGGTTAGAAGTCCAATACCTTGCTGAGCTTTTCTATCTGGCGTTCTAGCTCTGGGATGCTAGATGCTGTGATGTCAATCTGGAAAAGAAACAAGTGGACACCGAGAGAAAAGAAATTTTCAGATTCAAGAAAGAGAAATGCAGCTGACCCTTGAACAAGGTAATGGGGTGCTGACACTCCCCCCACCCTGCAGCCAGAAATTCACATATAATTTTTGATCCCTCCCAAACGAAACTATAATTTTTCTTGGTATCTGCAGGGGGTTGGTTACAGGTTGCCTTTCGGATACCACAATCCATTGATGCTTAAGTCCTTTATAAAAAATGGTGTAGAACAATGCATATACTTGAACTCCCAACTATAAATTGAAATATGTGTTGTTTTTGAGCCAGTTGGTTGAATCTGTATATACAAAACCCATAGATATGAAGGGCCGACTGCTTATTTGTATATGTATGTATGTATGTATGTATGATTTATTTTTAGAGGGGGGAAGGGAAAAAGACAGGGAAAAAATCATCAGTGTGTAGCTGTCTCTCACACACACCCCCTACCGGGATCCTGGCCCGAAACCCAGGCATGTGCTCTGATTGAGAATAGAGCTGGAGACCCTTCGGTTCGCAGGTCAGAACTTAATCCACTGAGCCACATCAGCCAGGGCTGTATATTTATTTTTAAAATTCTGCATATAAGCAGACCTGCACCATTCAAACCCATGTTGTTCAAGGGTCAACTATAACCTTTTCCAATTCCAAGTTTCCTTGGTCTGGGGCTAGTACCTCTCCATCTCTCCGACCCCTACGGCCATGGACAGCTGCTGTACTCTCCTCCTCCTCTTCTTCTTCCATGCCACTAGTCTCCTCCATGATCCGAGAGCTGCGCCTCCGCCCCAGGCCTTCCTCTGGCCCCTGCATTTCTGCCTCAGTCCTCCCTGTTCGCTTGGCTAGTGCAGTTTTCAGTCTTGCAATAAGAGATTAAGAAGAACTACTGTGAGGAATGTGATACTACCACAAAAAGACATTTGGAATCTACATCATCGAAAACCCTAGGGTAAGGCCCCAAGACCAGGGAAGGGGCTAAGAGCATTAAGTTCCAGGCAAAAGTCCTGGCTGTGCTTCACCCTTTCGTCCTCCTCTCCTCTCTTTGGACCCTACCCTCTGTCCTCTCCCTACCTCCGCAGCCGGCCTTCAACAATCCACTTGTTTTTCCTGTAGCTGGACATACTCTCCAGGGTCTTGTCAATCTCACTGCAGGGGAATAGAGAATGAGATTTTAAGGTAGAAGTGGCAGCACACACAACGAAGAGAGCTCAAGGGTAACAGGACTGCATCTGAACAGGAAATTTTAGCTTAAAGCCTAAACTGAATGAATAGCAGAGAAAGGCTTAGGTTCTCCCAGGAAAGGCACTAAGATTCAGTGCCCAGTCCCCCCAGCCTCTCCAGAGCATGGCAGCAGACACACATTGCCCAAGACTCTAGATGGCCACACCCCTCCTCATTCCATTCTGACCCCGGCATGCAATAACCATCCCCTCCCCTGCCCCTCACTTGATAATGAGGGTAGAGCCATTGAGCTCATGCACAAGGAAGGCAAGGACAGCAGCTTTCTGTTGTGGTGGCTGAGCCTGAAAAGGCTGGGTGCGCAGGCTGTCACAGAGGACTGGCTCCACTCCGTATGCCATGAGGAAACAGCGCAGGATCTCAGACACGTTGTCTCTTGTCAGTGGGATCTCCGACACCTTTTCCCCCAAGATCTTTAAGGACTGTTTGGAGGAGAGCATAATGGAGGTTAGGAGAAAAAGAGGAAAAACTCAAGTTGCATGAATCTGGAATAGGAAAATACAGGAGAAAACGGGTCAAGATAGAAAAAAATGAAAGTTGCTTGGACAAGATGTGAGAGAGGATAAAGGAAAGGTGCAAAAGAAAAGGAGTAAAAGGTAAATGAACGGAACAAGCAGAGGGAGGTCAGGAAGAAAAAAGAAACAGAAGAGAAAAAATACAAGGAAAAGAGAAGTTACACGTCTCTTCACTTGTCCTGATCGCTTTAGGGAGGAGTTTTAATGTGTTTAACTTAAAGAGAAAGCAAAACTGAGACAAAATACCGTATCCCAGGCTCTCCCAACCTGCCTTGGAAAGCGCCTCACCTGACAGTAGGAGGGCAAGCCAGGGTCATAGAGTGCAGCCTTCAGGAGCCGAACCAGCAGATCTTGCACCTCGCCCACACTGTCGCCTTGACACAGGAGTCCCTCTTGCAGGACTCCTAAGCTAGGTACATCTTTGGCAGGGTCAAGGCCCAGCACCTTGCCGAAACTGTGTAGGAACTCCACAATGGTCAAGCAGTCTGAGAAGGCCTCACTAGGCAGGAACAGCCCAGGGATGCGTGAGAAGTCAGGCAGCGGCTGTAAGGATAAAAGTGGTAGGGGGTTCTGTCAAACAGACTGGCAGACAACAGTTGGGATACCTAGGAGGTCCTGCCTTTAACTGAAGTGTATTCATTCACTCAATGGGCCCCTCCAGGACCCACGACCTGTTATTCTCCCCTCACTACCTGGTGGTCAGTCAGGCACATATCCTCTGTTGGCTTCTTCATCTCCTCCAAGATCATCTGCTGCCTCTGCCGCTCCTCCAAGCACCTCTGCATGGTCAGTGTTTTATCTGCTTTAGAAGCTGGCTTGGTTTTGGCCATCTCCTCTTTTTCCTTCATTTTTACCTTCTCCTTCTTCTCCTTCTTGACCTTTTCCTTCAGTTTTTCCTGTTTTGTCTTTACCTTCTCAGCCTACCCACCCAAGGGAGAGAGGAATCAGGAATGCCATAAAGATTTCAGTCACCACCCTTCCTTGATCCCCATCCTCCCACCCCAGAGCCCAGAAACATGACTATAAAAAAAACCACAACTCACACATGTCTTGCAAAATCAGTTTTGTGACTTCAAAATTATACTTGTGTGTACATACACCTACCTTGGATTTCTTCTTAGTTTCCTTCTGCTTTAAGTTCTTGGTCTCTTGCTTCCTCTTGTTTCTGGCCTGTAAACCATAAGGGAAGTCATTTCTCCTCAAACTCTGAAAGCATCTCTGTTTGGGCTAGGATTCAAAAAAGACAAGGGTGCTGGGGAGGAGAGGTGAGAGTTGGGATAAGGGATCGGCAATGGATCATTTCTCTCACCCCGAAGATGCCTACATTATTCTTGAATAAGCTCAGTTCTCTAAATCAAGCCCCCCAAATTCCAGGTAATCAAGGTATGCTTGCTACATGGAGGGTGGCAGTTGTAGGAAAAGGGGAAAAAAAGACAAAGCTGGTTGTTAACAGGCAATGTTAACCCACTGTGTAATCTCAGATGTCCCTCACCTGCCCTTGGATAGCAGTCTGACACTCTCCACGTTGTATCTTCTGCTTCATCTTCTTCTTGATTTTACTCATCTTTGATTTATCCTCCTCATTCAGTGTTTCTATAAGGGCAGAAAGGAAAATGAACAGCAAGCCCTGGCTGGGTAGCTCAGCTAGTTAGAGCACTGTCTTGATATGCCAAGGTTGTGGGGTGTGATCCTCAGTCAGGGCACATACAAGAATCAATCAACAAGGGGAAAAAAAAAAGAACCAAACAATGAAAGCATAAATAAGTGGAACAACAAATCCATGGTTCTTCCCTCTCTAAATCAATAAAAGAAAAAAGAGCCCTGGCTGGTAAGGCTCAGTGGATTGTGTGCTGGACCGTGAAGAAAAGGATCACCAGTTTGAGTCCCGGGGCACATGGCTGGGTTGCGGGCTAGGTCGCCAGTAGGAGGCTCACGAGATGCAACCACACATTAAACTTTCTCTCCCTTTCTTTCTCCTTCCCTTCCCCTCTCTTTAAATATCAATCAATCTTTAAAAAAAAGAAAAAGAGAAAGAAACATGAAGAGTGAGGCAAGCAGACCAATCTCTGGCATCCAGAGCAGCACATACCTGTCACAAAGCTTATTTCCCAAGCAACCCCCTGAAGAATCTAGGCTTTTTTTTTTTTAAGTATACAAAACACAATGTTGGGGGCGGGTAATGTGGGCGAGGCACCTGCTATGGAAGTAAAATAAAGACCTCAAGTGGTATCTCCAGACCCGAAGCGTCAGCCCTTGGAACAGACTGCACTGCTTTAGAAGGGGTTCTGGAGGCCATGATGGCAGAGTAGTCTCCTAGCCTATCCATCTCCCAGGCTGCCTGACAAAGACAATAACCCACACACTGATTTTTAGAGCGGAGAAAGAAAACAGAAAAACAAACTGCCAGGAAGGAGAGTGGTTTCCAGAGTTGGAAGCACTGATTAACCAAGAATGCACAAGAAAGGACCCAAGATGTGTAATGGACATCTCAGCAGAATCAGATCAACACTGACACAGCTTTTGTTTATGCTCAGTTCTCACGTCTTACTCCACAGAAAGACCTGAATTTCATTCCCTTTGGAAGACTGAATATTGAAATGTGATCATGCAAATAATATACTGTTTTAGAATTGATGTTTTTGATCATAATACCTATTCTGTTCTGACAGAAACACTAGCACATATGTACAACAACCCTGTAAATCAGACAGATATTAGCTGCAGAGGAACCACTACAGGCTTCTATTAAAATATAAGTGACTTGCTCCAGGTTATATGGTGAGAAACTGGCAGAGCTAGAACTTTAGGAGTCAGAGGACTCCAAATTTTTCAAATTCTTCATAGTTTATCAGGATAAATGTAATTATTTACTGAAAAATTAGACATTTCCCACCTGTCTATCCCACTAAAACAGTGCCAATTATGTTTTGAATTCATATTTGAATTCTCAACCTCTGAGATGATGGCAATGAGTAAAGTAAGAATGTACAACCAAAACCATTAAGACAAATAAGAAGCTGAAACATGGTAAAAGAGAACATGAAAATCCTTTTTTCTGGGAACTAACTGGCCAGGGCTCTACTAGTGAGAACACCTCAAGGAAGAAACTTGTTGTTAAAGAAATACCACAAAAAGAGCGGGGACCCTGATGCTCCTTTCCAGCAAGGGGGAAGCGATTCAGATTCATTCTGTCCAGACAATGTCAGTCACGCCCCTGAGAAACCTATCCATTAGCAATTCACCACCATTTCAGAAACCTCATAAAGCAAGCAGAATCTTAAAGTAAGAAACACCACTGTTAGTTACAAAATATTCACATGAATATAAAGTACAGCATAGGGCAGCAATTTTCAAGTGGTATGCTATAAGAATTTTAAAATATGCAATACTTAACTAGTCAGGGGCACTGACCTCTTTTTCCCTTAGATTGTCAAAAAAAAACAATAACAGCCCTGGCTAGTGTGGCTCAGTGGATTGAATGACAGCCTGCAAACCAAAGGGTCACCAGTTCAATTAGTCAGGGCACATGCCTGGGTTGTGGACCAGACCCCCAGTAGGGGGAGCATGAGAGGCAACCACACATCAATGTTTCTCTCCCTCTCTTTCTTCTTTCCTTCCCCTCTAAAAATAAATAAAACCTTAAAAAAAAGAAAGCTAACAGCCAACACAATAACTGCCCAGTGTGAATGGATCAAAATTGTACCTATTTTTTCTCGTCAGATCAGCAAAAAATATAGTTTTGATGTGCTACAGAACTTTAGTAATTAGTGTACATGTGCCATGAGTTGAAAAAAAGGTTGAAAATTGCTGGCGTAGAGAGCACAGTCTATAATACTGTAAAAACTATGTATGATGCCAGGTTATTACTAGAATTATTGAGAGAATCACTTTGTAAAAATTGTATAATTGTCTAACCACTATGCTGTACACCAGAAATTAATATAAAACAATACTGAATGTCAACTGTAATTGGAAATAAAAAAGAGAGAGACACCATTGTACCTTGGGCCTCCAGTTTCTTCAGGAGGCGGTTGTCTGTCTTATTCAAGAGCTCAGTGATTTTGACCTTGGGTGGCCGACCTCGACCCCGTTTCACCTTGGGAACTTCCTTGATCTTGGTCTTCTCAGTGTTTCGAGGTCGGCCCCGTTTTCCAGTAATTGCCTGAATCCTGGATGGGATCTCCTCTGCTGACAGTTTTATCCACTGCAAGCCCTAAAGTAACGAGGAAGACTGTTACAATGGGAGGGAGTCAGTGCAAGCTACCTGGCCCTCTGAACCATTCAATACCCCAGAAATACCTTTAACTCCCACAAAAGAAAGCTGAAGATTATCCACCAACCCTTTCTCAGGAACAAAGCGTATTTAACACTCGGGTCTGTACCTCTGGTGTATCTCTCTCTTCAAAGAAATCTCCAACAGGCACACGGGGACTGAAGCTGAAGTGCTCACGGCGGACACTGTGCACCACATTGCGGTTCAGGTACTAAAGGAAGGAGATAAAGTGGCATTAATAAGTCATAGCCCTACCAAGTGTTTGGCCAGCAAGAGCACAAGCAGACAATGCCAGCCTGCTGCCACTGGACCCAAGAAAGAAGTTTGTACTTCCTTTAAAAAGTCCATGAAAGCTACACTACCTTAATCACTTCTGGGAACTGTTTCATCCTCTTTCCACAGGGTCCATAATACCAGGTCTCCCCTTGCCATCGGTGGCTGCCCTTCTTGATGCGCACCTCTCTCCGCCACCTGCCAGAGAAGCACACGGGCCCTGCCACCAGGTCACACCCCTACCCACTCTCAAGCCACCAGGAGCCAAACCCACTGAGCAGATGACCCTCTCCACTTTTCTCTCTCTCGAATTGCATGTAGATGCAAACACAGCATGAAACACAAGCTTGGCTAGATGGCAGGCCTAAGATCCACAAACCCCTCAGGGCCTCAGGGGAAAGCAATACACCAAACTGCACAAGCCCAGGAGGCCTCCACCCCTTCCTTCACAAAGTCAGTGATACAAGCAGCCAGAAACCCCAATCACCAATGCCATTCAGGGCAATTACTAGGTTTCCAGTAAAGAGGATGAAGACCTAAAGGAATAAAGGCAGAAATGACAGAGGGTGGGGGGAGGTAAGAGGTAGAGTAAACTCACTGTTGACTCCATGAATTGACTTCGCAGGCCAGGGCTTACTAAAGAACTCTGTGTTCTAAGCAACAGATTATTCTAAGACTAAGCCTTATCTTTCTCTCAAAACTTTAAGCAGAACTCAGACTTGGTGACCACAAATAGCCTAGAGGGGTAGGAATGGGGAAGATCAGGAAGGCAGATTCTTACAAGGCCTTGGGTGTCAGCTGGCTTGTTCATTCTGGTCACGTACTGTTGTTCCTGCCCTTACCTCTCTGAAGAACACTAAAAAAATCTCAATTCATTGGGACTAAGCCACTCCCCATTCACTGCATATAGGACATTCTTTAAGCATACAGTAAAAGTCAGCTAATTTGGGTATCTGAGCTGTAAGGTCACCAGCTGGACTTGAAAACAGTAACAGCTGTAGCCCCCTCAGCAAAAAACTGAGTGGCCACAAGATAAGGAGAGTATAGGTAAGGGAGGCAGAGGCTGAGAGGGGAAGAAATGAAGCCTAGGTAGGACCCTCATGAGAAAGATTATCATTGCAGATAAATTGTCCTTTAATCCATCCTGTCTAGCCCATTCCTCCATGACTCAGATGAAAAGCTCCCTTCCCTTCTTCCTAGAGTTATTCTTTGAATTTGTCAAGGTCAATGTATATAGCAGACTAGAGCATTTACCCATGTTGGAGGGGCAGACGAACTTCTTCTGGGGTAGCAATCCGTCTCCTTAGAACATCACCTTGGGAGAAAAGTAGGGAATACCCAAAGTTAGAGTTAAAACAAAATACTGAAACAACAGGCCAGCAAGGAAGGGCTAAATACCACATGGAACAGAAACTTTTCCTGGAACTGGCTAGGGGTGGAACAGAATCTGTATACTCACTACCAGCAGCAGTGACTCCTTCTCCAGTGATCTCTTCCAGGTCAGCAGGGGTTTCAGGGAAGCTGCTGACATCCTTATTTGCTTGGGAGGCTGCTGGGAAGACAGCTGCAGGAGAAGCTGTAGTAGATGCTTTTGGGGAGGTAACCAGGGAGGCCGACAAGGAAACTTCTGAGGAAGTTGGTGGAAGGGCTGGTGAGGAAGCTGGAGAGACTGTTGGGAAGGCTGCTGGGGAGATTTCGGGGGAGGCTGCTGGAGAAACTGCTGGGGAGACTTCTGCAGAGACTTCTGGGGAGGCTGCTGGAGAAACTGCCAGGGAAATTGCTGGGGAGGCTGTTGGTGAAACTGCTGGTGAGGCCACTGGATGTAGCTGAACAGTGGATGACTGGTCAGGGGCTGGCTGGGTCAGAGGTGGTGGGAAGTCTGAAGTCTGAGTCTCCATTTCTTCCTGTTCTGCATCACTACCATTATTCAGGTCAAAGCTGTTATCTAGAATGTGAAGAGACCAGATGAATAAAGGAAAAATGATGTCATATAAAACAAAAGAATCTACTCAGTCAAACCTGGACTAAGATAAGCAGGGTTACTTCCAGCTTTTCCCTAGAGTTGGTAAGAGAATTAGCCTTTGACTGTTCTCCCCAACCATTCATGAAGGTTAAAGGGCAAAGCTGCTGCTTCTGTCAATGTGTGAAGAAACACCTTTTACCTGGAGCCGGTAAGGCCCTTGGCCTCCTTTTTCCTGCAAACTCCAAGCCTCACAAGTCCTTCTGGGCACATGGCAGAAGTCAGAGTGGAGCAGCCTATGCCTTTCCAGTCCCACCACCCACTATCCCAGCCCTTTTAGCTCCCAGCAAGGTGCTTCCACAGATATCCCACCCCTAATGCCCAAACTATGCATCCTGTTCTCTCACCTTTTCCCAGGTCAATGACTTTCTTTGTCTCACCTCCCCTCACCTACCTTGCAGCACAGACTCTCCAAGAACGGGTGGAGAGGTGGGGCTAGCAAAAATAGAGGCTGAAGTCTGACTGTCATCTGCCAGGAGACTGAAGGCAGTGGCATTGTTGAGGGAAGGACAATCAAGGGCAGAGATCACAGGGCTGTCCTCAAGAGGCAGCTTGTCCTCTGCATCCATCAGCTCTGTGTCATCTATACCATAGAGTTCTCCACTTACAGGCTCTTCAGGGGGTAGAAAAATCAAAAAAGCAAGATTTAAGAAATACTTGTCTGCATATATCTAATTCTAGTTCTCACAGTGTGAAGGTTCTTTCTAATAATAAATTAGGGAAAATTTATAGCCCCCTCATGAAAGAGTGAATTCATTAGGCTGTAGGGGATTATAAAAGTAGAAATGAAGGGAAAAGCAAGGGCACTATAACAACCCATAGACCAGTGCAAAATTCTACCATTTATTATAAAATAGGCCTTTCTTACATGTCAGTGGAGTGAAAGGTAATTGTTTACTGGCAAATGACTTCTTCCTGCTTAGTAAGAACCCAAACAGCCCAACTGTGTGGTAATAAGTCCCTATCCAGTGAATTATTAAAGCCCAGGGCTCTTGGCCAAAGGGAACATTGGGAGAAAACCTAGGAAATGAACCAATTCAGCTCAGAGGGCAGTTCACCCAGTCAGGCCAGTGGCATGAGACTGTAGTCTGTCACAGGAGTATCTGGAGACCTCGACACCCCTAATTCCCAAATCTTTTCCCCTGCTTTACTTCTCTTGCAGGCAGTACAAGCTGGCTATCTTCTGCGTGGTTAAATTGAAGGGAGCCAGCCTGCAAACCTACCTGGTGCCAGGGTGTTAAAGGGCTCCAGAGAGACTTCACTGAGGATTGGAGTGTCTTCCAGTTGATCAGGAAGATGTGAAGGATCATCTAAGCAGCTCACTGTGGGGTCAGGGACCAAGACTGAGACTTCCTGGTGTAATGATTCCACAGAAGGGATGGAGCCATTGTAGCCACACATCTTTAGTTCTAGGAAATACCAAGAGAGAGCAGAAGTCAAAATCAGTGCTTTCCCCTGGTTCCTTTAGCTATAGGAGGCAGTCGATCTTTACTTAGAGAGATGTTCTTTCTTTCAACATTTATAGATGCCGGTTCTATGTTAGATACCAATCATATCCAGATATTTTCAGTAGGCACAATGTTTACTGAGTACTATCAATATCTTACAGCAGATAAAGGGGGGGCGGGTAGGAATATGGGGTCTGAGACATGACTTCCACCGTGATTGTAGCTATTTCCCCCATTCAGTGGAAATAGGGAGTAGTAAACGGAGAAAGCATCCTGTAATTTTATAGGGTGGTCGGCCTTATACTTGGAATCAATAGCAAACTAGGCATTTATTTATTTAGAGGGAAAAGATGGAAGGGATGATCACATGTACCAATGCTCATAAAAACAAAAAAAGAAACAAAATTGTGATCAGACAAGCAATAGTATGCTCTGCCTGCTTCCTTTGAGTGCCAGTCACTACCAGGGCTCGGGCCACTTTAGCAGCCAGTCTAGCCCTGCCATAATCAAGTCAAAATGCCCTCAATACCCCCTGCTAGTCCCCCAGCCCATTCCTATATTTTGGAAGCCCTGATGCAGGGTGACTGTTGGGGCTGTTTCAGGCTCGCCCACCTGCCCTCTCCAGGCCAGCAGCTCTGCATGAGCTTGAAATAATTTGCACTCCCACTCACGAGCTGGTGCTGCTGCCACAAAAACACCAGCTACTTGGCTCTGCTAATCACCAACATGCAAATCAGCCTCCACTGCAGAGAGCTGGAAAGACAAGTTTTCCTCACCTCAAAAAGCCACTGCCCCCACAGCCCCATTTTCCTTCTCCCAGCCCAGCTCACAGGCCCACAGTTATACCTGGCTGCTCTTCTTCCAGCTCCAGGCTGCCTACCAAGCCAGTGCCATTCTCTGCCACGACTGAAGTCAGCTCCTTTTCTGCCTCCTCATCAGGGTGGATACCACGCCCTACTTCCTGGGAGGGTGCAAAAGTCTGGATGCTGGAGCCCAACATGGGAGAAGTCTGTGGGGAGGTGAAAAAACTAGGGGGTCCGTTGGGCATCACCTCAAAATTCTGGTCAGGAAAGGAATCATACAGTTCCTGTGAGTCAAAGTTGAGCCCCATGGGACTCTGGGTACCGTTGGCCCAGAACTCTTGGCTCCCAGCCCGAAGGTTAGTGTTGTGACTTGGGGATGAAGGTTGCCGGCTGCCCCCAAGGATGCCGTTGAGTGGGTACTGTCCCCCCGAGAATTGGGAGAGAAGGGGTGGGTCCTTGAGGTTGCTGCCAGAATTGGCAGATGGGTACTGTGAGTAGTTCCAGAGACAGTCGTAGGCCACGTTGGGGTGATGGAGGTGTGAGGTGCTAGAGGAGTGGGGAGCAGAGTTCAAAATCCCTGAAGTAGTAGTGTGAGATACAGTAGATAAGCCATTAACATTCACATCCCCATTCAAACCTGGCAGAGAAGGAGGGAAAAGCGTCAGTTACAGACATGTATGCAAGTAACTCTACCAACTCTACCAAAAGAATAACACTGACTAGAAAAAGGGAAGGTGAAGGGGAGGGGGATTCCCCCTCTGCTATATTTATAGCTCTTTAGTCTCGAGGGAACACCCAACACAGATGCTCCTGGATGTAAGCTTAGCAACTGCTACTGAGGCTCCTGAGTAGGGGGCTGGGGAGTTCTCCTGGTCTACCACAGGAGTGACCAGCAGGGAGCTGGCTGCTACTGATACTCAGGGATTTTTATTTTGTTTAAATGAAGCTGTTTGCAGACATCCTACAATGACTTGCATTCTTTCCCATCCTCATTCTCTAGAGGAATTTTCCCCTCGAGTGGCATGACTGAATTCCCCCTTTCCCCCCAGCGCCTGTTTGGTCCCACAGTGGCATCAAAGGGACAGCCTCCACCTCACTGCCACATGCAGATCCAGCACTTTGTGCTGGGCTAAGAATAGAATCTGTAGTCACCACAGCAGCAAGATCCCAGCTGAGAAGCTGGGATTGGCCCCTCCCCATAAGGCACTGGAGAGTAATATGCAGGGAGAGGAGGCGGGAATCTCTGCATGACTAGTAATGCAGACTTCAGTTCTCAGTATCAATGGCAACTTCTAGACTGGAGGACTATCAAAATAAAAGGGATGAAAACATAAGGAAGCTAGGGGAGAATAGGTGAAATAAAGAGCTTCTAGCTACCTGCTACCCCCTTGTGGATAGGAGGGAGAGGTAGAAGTATAAGTCTATGGCAGTATTTTCTGTTGCAAGGAAGGAAAGAAGCATTTGGGCTTCTCTTTGCTTCCAAGCATAAAATACCTGAAACCCTGGCAAAATTAGAGAGATACTTGGCAGAACCATGGTACACAGAAACTGATAAGCCAAATCCAGGAAAAGACCTGATCCCTGCAATAACACATCTATCTGGAATTTGATTTTTTTTCTCTGGGGAACTTGGTAAGCAAACATGAAAACTCTCCCTGTCCCTATTTTCCATCCATAGGGATAGGAGGTGGCACAAGCATCTATCTGCCTGCTTTTCTGCTGCATGAACTGAAAGGCAAACACATCCCAACCTTCACCAAACCCCTCCACCCCTCAGTTCTAGATGTGGCTTCTCCAAATTCTAAATACAGCTTCTCAGAGGGCGGGCCCTTTATCTCTCTCGTGGGTTCAACCTGGTTATCAGAAGCCTAGCCACCTCACCACTCTCTGGCAGTAGCCAGGGAACAGGGCTGACAATAGTAGGCTAAGATGAAAAAAAACAGTATGTTTTTCTAATCGCTTCCAACCTTAAGTCAAGACTAAAAGTGTGGCTTCCATAACCCCCTAGAGCTTGTTCTTAGAAGCTGGATTTTCCTTCAGTAGCTGGAGTTGTCCCTTTCCCAGTGGCCCTTAACTGTTGTGAGGTAGCTGGCCCAGAGGAGAACCGAATCTTGTTTCATCAGTCTGCTCTAAAGGAATAATGCCTGCTCCCTCCCCAGGCCATGCGGCCTCACACTCACTTTTCCCTTGCTGGGGGAAGTTCATGGGAGACCCGTTAGTGTAGAGGCCCTCCCCTGAGGAGGGAGAGGGTTTCAGTCCTGAGGCAGCAGGTGCAGGGGGAAGGCCAGTAAAGTTAAAATGGTCGTTGGCCTCCATTTCTGTAGAAGAGGAAAGAGAAGGGGAAAAAAAATACTGGTGGTTAAACAAAGTTATGTCACCTGGAATTTTCTACAGGGAATGACCCCTCCCCCACTATGTACTTACCCTTCTCCACCTAAGTACTAGGGGGAGGCGACAGATTAAAAAAAAGAGAAAGAAACATACTCATACCCTAGGCAGTCAGCCTTGTAGAGATAAGAAGAGTTAGTGAGAACAACCAAGATGCAAGCCTGCTGGAGTCTTCCCCGTCTGTTAGCCCCACCTTCTTAAACTCTTAGCCCAAGTTACCCTTCTATGTTAGATATTAGCCCCCTATTGCATAATTTAACATTCTCCACCCCACCCCCCTTCAAGGTAAGGCCAGAGATCCACAGAAGGTTCTCAAAGCCATCATTTTGATAGGAATCCATGGAAATGGGGGTATTGGCCAAGAAGCATAATTGATATATAGCCTGTTTTGTTTTATTATTCTCATTAAACAATTTCTACATTATCCTATCTATAGTCTTAGATATCTGAATAACGTAATATTGTTACCTTAGTAAAGGGATTTGAAAAGAATACATTTCAGGAAAGTGACCATAATGGCAAAACTGAAATATCCAGCAACATTTCTTTTTCCATGGGAAATACCATGCTCTCCAAGAATATAGCTCAGAAAAGTATCAGAGGTGAAAAATTTATCAAAAGGGCGTCCCAAGAAACACTACTATTATATCTACTATGGTTCATAAAGTTCTGGTTCTGTGGTTTAAATGGAAAAGGTCATGGAGAGAATAGCTGGGTATTTGTATTTGTAAAGTGCAATGGCTCATCTGGAGGTAGGAGAGTTAAAAAAGCTTTTCATTCTGTCCTTAATATGAGGTGATATACTAGTAAAGCCTTTGATCAGAATAAACTTTTCTTTGATAGAGCAAAGAGGGAAGAAAGAAAGCAGAAGCCAGAATTATTGGTAGTCTGACATGTCAATCAGATACTTATAATGTATATACTAGTGCATACTAATTTGATGTGAGGGACATGATATTCATGGATACTAAAAAAGTAGCTCCTTGGGTTACCATGTTTTTTAAAAGAGCAGAAGAATTCAGGTAGAAAGATTTCTTTATCAAGTTCCCAAGATGAGGGAGTAAGCTTACCTAGATGGCTTTAAATAATCTTTTAAAAAAGAACCAGAAGCAAAACTTTTTAAAAAAATAAATAAATTGGTTAAGAATATATTATGTTCCTGAGTATTTAGTGGTCCCCAACCTTCTTGGCACCAGGGAATGGTTTCATGGAAGATGATTTTTCCAGGGACCAGGGTGGAGGGGATGGTTTCAGGATAATTCAAGTATATTACATTCAAACTCACTTCCTGCTGTGCAGCAGGCCTGACTGATTCTGGTCTGTGGCCCAGAGGTTGGGGACCCCTGTGCTGGATAATACAAATTAGACACCATTCGGTGATATTCAAATTTAACATAATTCTGAGCATGAAATATGAACCCTGTATAGGAGACGGTATGATAGCTATAAGACTTTCCAGGCTAAATATCATAATTAACTCTATTTTCATCAATTTTAACTAAAAGTTTAATTTTAAACAATTTTAAATGTATTGATTTGAGAGAGAAAGGGAGACTGAGAAACATCAGTTTGTTGTTCTACTTATTTATGGATTCATTAGTTGATTCTTGTATGTGCCCTCACCAGGGATCAAACCTACAACCTTGGCATATGGGGAAGATGTTCTCTACTTAAGCTCTCTAGCCAGGGCTTAACTAAAATAATAATAATAAAAAAGAAATAAAACCAATTTGTGCCCTGGCTGGATAGCTCAGTTGGTTAAAAAGCATCATCCTGATATACCAAGGTGGCAGGTTAGATGCCCTGTGAGGTCCATACACAAGAAGAATCTGTTAATGAATGCAAAAACTAGTGGAACAACAAATAATGTTTCTCTCTCTCTCCCTCCCTCCCCGCTTCTTCTCTCTCAAATTAATAAATTAAAAAAAAAATTAAAAAGAAAAGCTATTGTATTTTTTGTTGATTTCAGAAAAAAAGTTTTTAGGATTGACTTATTTTCCTGTCTTCACTCTAAAATAAGCAGTAAACCTAAACTTGCTATGCACCAATGAAGAAACTGGGTCTTTACAGAGAAAGACCTCAGGATCCCCCAGGATATTCCCCATAGTTAAGGCCATTCCACAGCAGTAAGAGATCTGGAAAATAAACATCATGAGATTAAGGATCCCTCTGAAATGAAAAACATCAAGGAGGAAAGTTCATTCACTAATTCTCTAGGTTCGTTAAGATTCCTTCAAAAGCTTACATCACAGACCAAAGAGGGCATTCAGAAACTCATTTCAGAAGTCCTAGAAATGCTATGCTTAGAGAGCCAATCTCCTCTGACTCCCATCTTCACTCTCCCTCAGTTTTACACATAGCCACATCTCCCCTGGTATGTTTTTGTGACACACACACACTTTTTCTATGTTCACTGGACTATAATCCTTCCATCAGTGATAGGCCACAGTTCATTTTTGTTTTATTTTTTTAATTTCATTTCTTTATTTTTCGAGAGAGGGGAAGGGAGGGAGGAGTGGGAGAAACATCGATGTGCCAGAGAAACATCCACTGGTTGCCTCTTGCAAACCCCCAGCTGGGGACCTGGCCCACAACCCAGGCATGTGCCCTGACTGGGAATCGAACAGTGACCTTTTGGTTTTCAGGCTGGCACTCAATCCACTAAGCCATACCAGGGCATTTTCCATTTTCTATTTGAATCCATGAGGAAACTAGTGACCTTCTCCTCTCTGCTACTCTGGGAGACCACAGCATTTCCTGTCTCATAAATTATATACTAATAAGAATAAATGGATGGCTCACAGAAATCAGATAAGTAAAAGGAATGGGAAGTTATCTAGTGCCTGAGGTCTCTTTCTCCACTAACCTCTACTGAAGGGTCATCAGGACCACAATCACTTCATTTATCAATACAAGAGGCCCCCTAGAAACATAAATACCCTTTATGCTGTGCAGTGAGATCAGCACATAGTGGGCTCTAGTTCAAATCCCAGCTCTGCTAATACTAGTGTGACCTTGGACAATCACTTAACATTATTGAGCCTCAGTTTCATCATTAGTAAAAACTTTAGTACTCACCTCCAGGGCTTGTAAGGATTAAGTGAAAAGAATAAGATTAAATGAAGAGGAAATCTACATACCTAGCACACTGTTACCAAGCAAGCACTCAATAAATGTCACCTGTAATTATTAGACAGAAAGGGTATAGACTGCTTAGTTTTCAAAAAGATAATGAGAGCTGCCCTAGCCAGGTGGCTCAGTGGCTTAGAGCATCATCCCATATACCAAAAGTTTGCTTGATCTCTGGTTAGGGTGCATATAGGAGACAACCAATTGATATTTCTCACATTCACGTCTCCCTCAAATCACTAAACATATCCCTGGGTAAGGATTAAAAAGATAATCAGGGCCCTGTCTGGTATAGCTCAGTGGATTGAGCACGGGCCTGCAAACCAGAATATTGAGGTTTGATTCCCAGTTGGGGCACATGCCTGGGTTGCAGGCCAGTTCCCAGCAGGGGACGCATGAAAGGCGACCATACACTGATATTTCTCTCCCTCTCTCCTTCCCTTTCCCTCTAAAGATAAATAAATAAATTTAAAAAAAAAAAGATAATCAGGACCAAAAGGCCAAAATATAAGTATAATTTAAACCATTACCCAGCCATACTTTCTTATAAGAAACTTGACTCTTGATTTCAGCTGTAACTTAAATATGAAATCACAGAATGGAAAAGCAGAGGAAATGTGGACAGCTTCCCTCAGGTATAAACTCTGGCTTATTTCACTTGAACCTTTTCTACCCAAGATGCTTTTTTCACAATAAAGACTGAAAAATTATGCCCTCCCATCTAGAACTAGTAAGGACAACAGTAAAGCAGAGTGTCTCCCTTTGAACTAATAGAATTTTGGCCAAATGAGAAAAGAAATCAATCTGCCCAATCCCCAGAATAGCAGACAGCTCTCATGACCAGGAAGTACAATCAGGCCAGAACCCAACCCAGTCCCAATAGCATGTAAATGGATCTCTTAAGATCCTCAATGCTTCACTTATATCAGTTAAAGGATGGTGGCCCTTAAGCTTGAAGCAGTAAAGTCCTTGCCATATGGCCAAATAGGCTGCTTTTCTCTCAGTTGTAACTCAAGAGTTACTACTATGTGGACCTGTGACATGGTTTTAACAGAAAAAGGCTGACAATGCACAAAGTGTTGAAATAAATATTACAGATTTCAACACTGTTGCAGGTACCCTGACAAACCTAACAGACTTCTGAGGCTACCCACAGAAAAACAAGACACATTAACACCATCCAGCTAGACACTTTGGCAGTCCCTAAACCTAAAGCTCTTTGGTTTGTTCTTCCCATATAGTCTACCAAAATTCCACTCATAGGTTTCCAATGTTTATCTTTACTAAACAGCAAATGCAAATTTTTCTGTATAGTTACGGAAATAAATCACACCACTTTGTTTTAGCTTTATAATTGTGAATGTTATGAAGGATATTTCTCAACTCTACACATCTCTGGATTTAGCCACCATACTCTAATATAGTGATTTCCAATCAGGGATGATTTTGCCCCCTGGAGGGGTATTTAGTAAAGACAAAATGTATATGTTACTGGCATCTAATAAGTAGAAGCTAGCGGTGCTTCTAATGACCCTGTTATATACAAGACAGCCTACAACAAAGAATCATCTTGCCCAAGATATCAATAGTGCAAAGAGTGATACGATCTAAGCTAGGTGTTCTTAGATCCTCTCTTCTTATATATAAAGGCCGCCCCATTCCTGCCCTGCGCCCTAGGGAAGTTCCAAAAGTTTTCACTGTTTCAAGGTTCCTGATGCTGCAAACAGGGATGGTTTCACTTTTATATCTAAAAACCCCTTCCCTGGCTATGCTGTCTTTCCAATACTGCTTACCAATTCTA